ATAATAAACATTGGATAAACTATGATCGACGAGAGTTAGGTCCAATATTTTGATCGTTTGCATTGAGGACGGGAAGTTAAATTATTTATCGATGCGGAAGCTAGTGAAAATACAACTTATGTATGATCGAGAACGCGAAAAATATGAATTTAGCAACTGGAAAAGTTAAATATTATAGTTTATAAAGAGCAAATTTTCAGTCTACACTGTAAAGGATAAGAATACCAAACTTACGACATTGCTGGAAACTTGTGGCGTGTTTGCTGAAGGATAGAATCTGAACAAAAACAGCGTTCTAGAAAACAATATTTCAGCAATAGTCGCAACTTGAATCGTTTGAGATACGCATGGGTAGATTAATGCAAATAGTAGTTATGCTGATAGACAGCATATTCGGAATATTCTGTTGACCAATCATAGTCCCGGTTCTCGAGTGAAAGATTTTGCTTGCATCCTATGACATTCAGTAAGCTATCTTAGTGGTGATGAGGCATTTTCTTCCAAAGCTAAAATATGCAAAGGAGGTTTTCGTGTTACTAATTAAGATATCACAGGAGAAACTTGTGATTAGAATATAAAACCACGCGCATGGGGTCAAGAGCTGCTCCAAAAAACAACAATCTGTGATTTTGAAGGGTATTTCTGAAAATTATTTCTGCCATGATAAAAACTAAATTACAAATGTAACTGAAATAGCATGAGGTCTTCTGTTTACTACTTAAATAATAATAATAAAAAAAAAACAAGGAGAAAATGACGGAAGTTTCAGTGCATTTAATCGATTTTAATCTGTTTTAAGCCTTATTGTATCCTTATAATTGGCTCATAACTGCACTAACAAACGTAGAGATCATTGGGACATGAAACGTACAACATGGTACAAGGAAGCTGTGACCTTTTTAAAAGAAAAACAAGTGATTAGCTTCATATTGTTGATATCGAGCCGATAGATTTAAAAACCTAGCAACAACCAAGTTTCTTGAAGACGTGCATGGTTTCATTTTGCTAAATCCACACTTAGCAAAGTCATTACCATTGCCTGGTTTTTCAACGTAATCTGAAATATAAGACAGTCCTGACGCTACTGAAATGCGCGTTACTGAATTGCTCCGGCCGAACCTTTGGGGGAAAAAGGGCAGGGTTACAAGAAAGGAAGTGGAGTACGGTGAACTGATACAACCGCTTTAACTTCCCTGACAGGTAGTTAATAGAAATAAGATTATTCTTATCTTTTCTAATTTTCTTAGGCACGCAACTAATCAAAGACGGTACAAAACCGTCGAGAGTAGCTATACTGGTAGGAATGCTTTGGCGACTTTAAGGGACTTGTTAACAGTCTCGAAAGGTTGAACGTTAGCCGTAGGTAAAAAGGGGTAAATGTGCACACGAGCCCAAGGCCCACACGGCCGGAACTTATTGCCGGTTTCCGTAGCATGAAGCAAGCCTATGAGTAGCGCTTCTTCACCCTGAACGGGATGCTAGTCTATCGCAGGGTTAACCCCCAGGCAGCAGAATGTCGCCGGTACCCATTTATACACGGGTGAACAGAGACAAAGTGGAGTAAAATTCCTTGTCTAAGGAAACAACTCGACTGGCGAGGCTTGAACCCTCGGACCGGATCCGGACTAGTTCTTGCCTAGTCCCTAGGCCTCATTTTTCCTCGCGGCCAAAGCGTTTCAGGTCACGTGATCCATGCGAAAATGTGAAGACTAGTTCGAGGTGTTAACCGCTCGACCACACAAACCCCCTGTTAGCCGTAAAGCAGCAAAAAAATTAGTCCTTAGGCGCATTAAAAGAGAAAATTTTTACCGTTAATCGTTAGAAAAAGTTAACCTTAAAAAAAGATTTTGCAGTTATTTTTCATGCAGTGTGCATGTCAATATAAGCCATTGTTTGGAAAACCGGAAAGGGCCGGAGAGGTCCCTCAAAGGTCTAAGCCGATGGAAACTTTTGAAATTTTTCAAAAGATAGATTTTTCTTCCCAGAGGTCCGTTAATTGTAATGAGGAGAAATTAACCGTTATCCATAAAAGGCCAAAATATCAAAACCGTCTATAGTAGAGTCCATTACCCCAGTATTAAAGGCCCGTCTAACTGCAAAAAAGGTATAAGAGAAGAAATAAAGAGGAAATTATAACAGGACTTGACAGAAAACGTTCTATACTACTGTAGTTTTGGGGGGACTTTTCAGTCCCATCCAAAAATTTGGGTCGCCATAGCGACACCGACCCTATCCACGCAGGTCATCCTCGAAAAACACCATTAGGGTAACAAGGAATTCTTATAACTTTTTTTCGGTACGATGATTGTGGGACGTTTGAAAAACTGCTAGAAATATATATTTTAAAAATAATCTTGCTGACGTCTTAGTGGTTGTGATAATACAGTTCTTACAAAGCTGTCAGTTTGACGCATTAAAAAATATTGCATTAAAAAATGTTTCATGCACTTCAGAAATTTAACAAGAAAGAAGCTCTTAAAGAATTACGCATGCGCAAAGCCACTACTAAAGTTCAAATGAAACCAATAGCTGTGATTGCTTTAAGTCAAAGTTTTGTTTATATGCTATATTTCTTCTGAAAGTACTCTCTTTCTAAGCAATGATTGATTAAATCCTTTTGGCATGCCACGATGAGGGTTACTTAATAACCGATCTTAATCTTCTTATCACCAAGATCAGGGTACAGATTGCTGCCGTTTGTTCAAGTGGTCCTTTCACTGTTCAGTGAGCGGAATATTCAGTTCATACTGGGAGCAAACTTACAAAACATTCATCCATTCAGATGACCTCCCACTGCAGGAAAATGTGTTCGTGGTCTTTCACCACACGAACAAGAAAGTATTCACCATCTTCACATAGACCATAATGTACCTTGTTTAGCCCCCAAAATTTTGCATAACCATTGTTTCAAAATAGAATTAAAGTCAAAAAGACTACTGCAAAGACTGAACAAACACCGTGAAAAAGGCTGAGGTATACAGTACTTCCAGTGGCCAATACCAGTATTCATCAGGTTTATTAGGAAAAACCACGAATATACAGAATATATACCACTGAAAAATAACAAAAGGAAGTTACATGGTATGACGTGGCAAGATGTGCCTGCTAAGAAAAATAACCGAAAAAAAGATAAAGATTGCACAATGATTATTGTTCGTCCTGTTTGTTCATTCCCAGACGCTCGATGGTTTTGGCTTTAAGAATGAGGTGCGCCTCACGTGCTTCCCTAAGACAATCGCGTTCATATCTAAGTGTTTCAATTGGGATAAGTAACATATCTTATCTTTTTCAACTGATCACGATCTTGTTTGATCCAATGTTGAGCTACATTGATGGGGGGAGGGGGGACACTGAACAAGGTGCATTGTGGTCTATGGGAAAATGGTGAATAGGTCAAGCTTGTTCCCAGGGTTCTCTCTTTTTTGAAGACAAGACAGACAACCCTGGGAATGAGGTTGAAAACGAATTTAGAATTCAAAGATTGAGTATGAGCAATCCCCTACGGATGTCGTCCAGATTGCGATCCTAACGGAAACCCGCAATGTTGAATTGTTTTAAAATGTAGTTGGATTTATTGGTAAACGCAGACTTACACGAGCGGAGCAGGGAGGCGGGCATTATGCAACCTTTTGCCACTTCACGCTCTCCGACGGAACTTTACCTCAAGCGTAAACTATGAAACACAGTAACAGCGCTTGCTTTGTTCGAAACCTCTACGAAGTCGCTAGGGCAAATGAACTCACATTCAATCAAATGGTACCTTACAATTTCTTACCTTTATCAAGGGAACTGAAATAAAATTGTACTGATTCACTCTAAACACGAAATCATTAGAAATAGAGCTCATTTTAAAGGACACAAAAAGGGTGAATCCTGCAGTCGATGTTTTAGGATAGCCTGAATTTCAGACGACCCTTGGACGCGCACATTCACGGAAAAGCCTGATGCTTAAAATATCTAACTCAATTTGCCACAAGCCTTGTAACCCCTTTTTCAGCGTGAACTTATTTCTCAGTCAATGACATCCAAAACGATCAAAAGGGCTTAAGAAAACCGTAGACTTGAGAAAAAGGAAACAAACTTTTATTGGATTGTTTATGGAAAAGAACGGTCTTAAAGTGTATCTTTACAAGTTCAACTAAGTGCGTTTAAGACATTTTTACATAAATCTAGAAAGGGAATGGGACACAAATAACAACAATGAATACTGTTTTCCCATCAACGGCCATACCTGAAAGAATAATTCAAAATTACATATTTTTTTAAATTCACAGATTTAAATAATAAAATTACATATCCTTTGAAGAGAATTTAGGAAACGAAAACAACAACAACCACAACACTTTTTTTTAAAATGGACACAAGCTGAAAAGCAAGAGGCACCCAGGCCCTTGTTTTTCAACAGTTGGATACAGCTAGTGGCTATCCAGCTGATTAATCATTATCCACGGGATAAGTGATACATTGGATGTAGAGATAAATCCAGTCAGTGTTCTTACCAGGATTTTCTACACTAGGGTCCACAGCACCCATAGAGACGCTAAGAGGGGTTCATAAGGGAGAAAAGAGGGTCACAATTTGTAGATACAGTTACAATGTGACTCAACATTTTCACAGGTGTGAGTTAGAGCAAATACCTAGTACTTTCTTTGAAAATGATGGGTGTTTTCTGAAGACACCATAACCAATTAAATTTTGGCCTATATTATAAGGAAATGTAGGTATGTGTACGTACGTTTTCTAATAATTTTTTCCTTCTTTGCACCCTTGGGACCCCTTGGGCTAATAATTATAGTGCAGCATTTCCTGAAAAAGTGTGGCAATGCCACAATGCCACGGTCTGGAAAGAACACTGTCCAGTAGACTGTAGATAACACCATCTAACTTTAAACAACACCCAAAAGGCATAAGGAGGTACTGCACTGAAAGATTTCAGCTGAATAATAAAATTTTTGTTAGAAAGCATTCTGAAACAAACGTTAAGATTTTTTTACTTTTACTTACTTTTGGAATTCCCACTCTCTGTTGTCTAGTGGGCATACTTGACGAGTTTTCAGCCAGCGAGATATGCAGTGAAAGTGGAAAGCATGCTGCAGGGATAAGAAACAGAAACCCTTCTTAGTTGCTATCTACATGAGCAGTGAAAGCAAGAGCTTTTCACTGGAATTCTCAGTAAGGAAACAGAACAGGCGACTGAAACAGGATTTGCTGTAAGTGGCAATGAGCAGAATCAGAGATACATGTAGGTGTCCACTTTACGGGAATTTGCACTAATCTCACTATCACTACTGTCATGAAGAAAAAAAAAACCTGCAGTCTAAATTGCTGTTTGTTATAACGTCCTATGCAATACAAGTAATCATGATCAAGGCATTTTCAATCAACCAATTTGCCCGGGCTATTCTTTATAAGGTACTCTTTAGTTTTAGAAGCACTATTAATAATTGCTCAAGAACTTGCTCTGAAGTTGAATGACTTGTTCCTTGAAATTTCTGAAATATCCCTTAGCAGTTTAGGCTAAAACACCTGCCACTTACATTTTGATGTATTGCACTGCATCTTCAATGGCTTTTATTGCAGTGAGTTGCTTCCAATTCAAAAAAAGGTACAATGTATTGGTTTTAAAAGCCACCTGGTTTTCACATGTTGGGAAAATCCCAGGCAATCAGTGATTTTTTTGTTTCCTGTCCAAGTCAAAATGGCAGATATCCCCAAACCATCTGGGATTATTGGGTACAAATCCAGAGAACTGGGAGCATTTCTATTTTCCCAAAATGTTAAACATTAATTAATTTTCTGTGATGGTTGCTGACCACTTCCCACCATTATGAAAACTTGTTTTTGCACTGTCGGTGATTGTGATGAGCTATCATTTCTGCACAATCCCAATCTTCCTGAACCCTCCAAGTTTAAGTTTTTGCTTGGTCGCCATTTGGAGACTAGCTCTTTAGGTTTAGGGAAACTTTTTGACAAATCAAGTTGCCAGCTTCAAAATTCTAGGCACCATGGCAACTAAAATGGTCGCAACTTGGAGAGTTGTTCCAACTGCTTAAATCGAGTTTCCCCTCATAAATCAAAATGGGACTGGGAATAAGCAAAATCTTGGATTGCCTGCAATTATTTTACACATGTAAACGAGGATAAACTCAAAATGACTGTGTTTGTGGTTGATGTAAAGGCAATTTCCTTTGCATTTATGAAGTTGGAAAGTTGACAAGTGACTAAGAAACCATTTAAGGGAGACTAACCATGTCAAGGAGCTTTATTAACGGCAAATAGTCACAACTTACACATTCATGTAAGTTTTATTCTATAGAATAAAATGAATACCACAGTACTTACATTACAGACACCCCATGCTACTGTGCATTCTTCACTTGTTGCTGAGGCCTGATTAGCTTGACATTCTATACCTGATAAATACAATGTTATTGATAAACAAAAATGAAACAAGACATGTAAAAAACAACGTCGCTAAGAAAGAACAACGTTTCCGTGTCATCTTGACACCACTTTCAAGTTGAAAATGCTTGCTGATAGACTGTTGAAAAAGCTTTTTCTGGCTGACAATTAGCATAATTATATGAAATACGCAAAAGTCAGGCAGAAAGTTTTGCTCGAATTGAGTCTGATTGGACATTTATGGAAGGTGTTAGTTTCCTAAATAGCAACATTTTGTGCACTAAACTTGTTATTGCACTTCTTAAGGACAGAGAACTGTTTGTTGAGATCTTTTGGGACAGTGGAGTGTTCGTCCTTATAATGTTTGCTGATGGAAGAAAACACGTTCTCTAAATGACCAGTCGGACTCAATTTGAGCAAAACATTTTACGTGACTTTTGCATATTTCATAAATGCTAATCATCAGCCAGAAAAACTTTTTTGACAGTTTACCAGTAAGCATTTTGAACTTGAAAATGGTGTCAAGATGACACCCAAACGTCGTTTTTTCTTACGCATGTTGTTTTTTACTTGTTTTTGTATAACTAAACCTTTGCTTACTAAAACCAAACATGGCACAGTTATGTCACTGTAGTATATGGGGATGCTCCTGATACCGTGTATGTAGAGAATGTAAAATATATTCTACGTAACATGCACATCAAAGGTCTAAATACAGTGCAGGCCAGAACTAAGTGAACCAATACAAGTCCAACACATCAGGCCAGATGCGTCCATGCATCTGAGCTGATGAGCATATGCGTCTTCTCTGAAATGTGTCAGTGCACACTAACACTTTTAGTATGCATGAGCTATTTCTTTGTCAATAGAGGTGTGATGCGTGCAGTCATAAAAAAGCCAACAAGACTCATACTGACAGATCAGCACAAGCTAAATTTTTCTTTTAACAAACCACACAAACGAACTGTAAAACTTTGATTTGGTGTCGAGACACTTCTCTGAAGTATTCTAACAAAATACACTCAAAAGTGTAAAAACCTGATACACATAAATTTTGATTACCGGGGAGATAAGCTGTCACAGTGAATAACAAAAGAAAAAGGTATTCCTTCCTGACGCATCTGAGCTGATGCAGATGCTCGTCAGCGCTGACGCTTTCCTTGTCTGAGCTGACGCGTCCATTGCAAGTTCTGGCCTTTCACAGTACTTGTGCCTCAGCAGTGATTCAAAAAGAATAAGAGGACGAGTGTCAAGTCTTGTGTCTATATTGTTGGTGGACTGTTTTGGATTTGCAGTGAATAGCTTAGCCTGTTCACTTCTTCATTAGTGGTTCATTTCATTATTTTAAAAATAAAATACCATCCATGCAGTAATCGAACATATTTCGGAACAGATTTCTACAATAAGTCACATCGGTTTTTCACTATCAGTTTTAGAGAAGAGAACTGAAAGCCGCCCAGTGGCTCAAACTTTGAGGGAGGCAAATCAAATGACTTTAAAAGACAACATTTGTTCGTTTAAGCTACACTTCTTTTTCCAATCATAATGACAGATGTTAATCAAGGCACCAGACATTCTGCACATTGAACCTTGGGTATCGCAGGTGGAATTGACTGATGCATTAGTCCAAAATAAAATTATCCATCAGTCGGAGACATTGACTTTATTTCAAAACAAACAATGTAATCTTTTTATTCCTTTTCCAAAATATCAATATCTTGAAGTGATCATGAAGAGTGTGTGATACTTGCATTCCTTCCCCATCCCAATGCATTATTTCCATATTTCTGGTTATTCGCCATGAACTTCCAATAACTCGAACTCCCGATGATTTGAACGTTTTTCCATTTCCCTTGAAGGTTCGAGTTTTTGGGAGTCAACTGTAGATGCAAATGAACAGCTTCATTTGCTAGGTGGTTTAAATGTAGTGGTGTTTAGCAAGATTATAATCAACAAACAACAGACTTTTAATGAACTTATGCTACAGCTAAAGAAGTGCAATTATAAACTTCTATTAAATTGCCAAGAAAAGTGAAAAAACGTGGAGAGTCAATGACATGAATTCTGATTACCAACTACACTCCAGGGCCCGGTTGTTCGAAGGCCGATTAGCGCCTAACCCGGGGTTAAATTTAGCCCGCGTTTCTTTTTCTTGTGTTTAAAAGCATTTTCTCGGATAATTTTCTCTGTTATGTTTAGAGCTTCCGATCATCAACTTGTAGACCAAAAGAATTAATCCTGAACTGCTTTTTAACCTTTCAAATCTGAGTTCAAATCTCGCACTAACCCTGGGTTACCTTAACCCAGCTTTGAACAACTCGGCCCTCTAATCAAAATTATCATTTGATTACGCCAAATATATGCAAGAACTAATTAAGCTTACACAAATCCATTATGTGATTCCGACAGATGGCGCAGTTGTCGACGACAATATCTGATGAAAAAAGACCAAGAAAGATTAATGTTTTAAATATGCTGAAATCCTTTATCAATAGTATGCGACTGCACCGCCAAAACCCATGCCACATTTTGCAAAAATTCCGGCTTACCCCATGCCCATAAGGCCACGGCGTTCCACTGTAAAAAAGCGAAAAATAGAGAGTTAGCTCGAGTAGAACCTTTAAAAAGTAGCTTGAAATAAATATAAGTGATGGCAGAATGTGCGTACCTTCTTCACTTCGAATCTTTTCTTCGCAGAGCCCGAAGAAGTTGATGGAAGTGCGGGAGGATCTACGTCCATTCCTTCGGCTTCCGCCATTTTTGCTGATTACAGGAAAACTTTTCTTTGCGCAAGCGCAGACAAGGCATCCTCTCCTTTTCTTACTAGGTAACCAAGCCTCCAGATCCAAAATGGCGCCGAAAATGTGTATTTTACCGTATTTTACACTTTGAAAACTAAAATTCACGATCCAGCAGATTTTGGAAGGATAAAATGGCGACTCTAGCCAGTTCATCGCGCTGCAGTAGCACCCTGGCCAGTGTTTACTCCGTACTTTCAGGAAAACTGTGGAATCGAGTTGTTATTGCCGCTGTCGTGTACTGCCCCGTTCATCAACACAAACGATTCATGTCGTCAAAGCCTTTGCAAGGAAGGACAGTGCGGATCGGCTGTGCTTCGGGATTTTGGGGAGATTCAATGATGGCAGGTAGACAATTGGAGCAAGCATTTAATCTGTTCTGATGTTTATTGTCACCACCGATTTCATGTAATAGGTGGTTTTCATGCCATCTCGGGAGACACAAATAACAATGGTGAAATGAACAAATGCTGGTGGACAAACAAAGCAAGCTAATGAGCGATCTTTTGTTTACCGTCCACCAGCATGGCGGCGATGACGTAAAGTGAAAACCACCTATAGGCCATTTTACAGTTATGTATGGAAGCAAGGCTGAGGGTGACCTTGTTTTGATACAAACCTTCTTTGCTTTGTTATGGAAATTGTTCTTGAAAAATACTTTTTAGCATAAGAATAACTTGATTTACATAATGAAGCAGTAAGGTTTGTATCAAAACAAGGTCACCCTCATCAGTCTCGCTTTCATGCATAACTGTAAAAGGGCCTATTTGTGACCTTCTCTGGGAAAACGTACACTAACGATATTTCGTTAAACGGTTAGACCGTTAGCTGTCCGTTAGTCATCTGTTAGATGATTCAATGAAAATCGTTAGAGGCGTTAGGCAATTCGTTAGCAACTCATCCGTAGCCGTTAGAGCGTTAGTTGTATCCGTTAGAGGTGTTAGTCAATTCGTTAGCAACTCATGTATATCCGTTAGAGCGTTAGTTGTATCCGTTAGAGCGTTAGTCCAGGAAACTAAAGCGTTAACTGACGATTCTATTGCTTTGCTGATCAAGGCCGCTGCCTTATGGGCGCCCTGTCGTCAGAGGTTTCTACGATTAATTTTATTCGCCCGCGGGCGACCGAAATTATAAACAAGGAGCCCGCATCGGGCACCTGAAACTAGTGATTCTTGCCAAACCCGTTTCCCAACGTCCAGTGAACGAACGACACAATTCCCTACCCGTTCTACGCTTTTGAAACGAAAAATTAATATCAAAATACTTGGTCGTCGGCTGTAGGCAAAAGATACCGACGATAAGAAGTAAACAAACAAGCACACGTCTTGAAATCCGCTTCTCTGCAGACTTCCGCTAATTGATCTCGAATGAATTGAATGGTTGCAGGAAAACCTTCGGTATAAAAGTCATGACCTTCTTCCCGTCTTTTTGCCTTTAGAAACGTTGCTGTTGTGTTTATTTTTAAATGAAAAGATGCAAGCAAGCAAGATCCATTGTTGGTTAATTGAAATTACACATGATATACCGGTATGCAAATTTTTCTTGCATCTACAACTATTGATCAGATTGTTCCGTTTTCGATCTCGATACGAACGGTACACTCAGTTGACTCGGAGATTTCTTAGATCATTTATTCAGGTTGTATCTATGTCCTTCTCCTTTTTTGGTACGTTTTGTGGCAATTTCTTTTTAAAAGATAGACTTAGACGAAATAAAAGAATTGTGCAAAAAGAACTTTGTAAGCGTTTTTTAGGATTTATTTTCAACGTTGAATTTTTTTTTCTAGAGGACAGATTGTAATCGTTTTAGAACAATGTCGATAATAAAAAAGATTAATGAACACACGAGTTGCTTTTTATGCTGATATTGAACAGAGGCATGGGCTGGGAAAGGTTTGGGATTTTAATTTTTTTTCCATTTGATTTGTAGTCCTAAATAATTGAGGCTCTCTAGTAATTAAAAAAGTCTACAATCATTCAATACAGCTTTTATTCATGTGTTGTCCGTCACACAACGCTTCACTGCGTATTCAAATTCCCGGGAGTCAAATTTCAACCGAAATTTGCATAAAGTTGTTTACGAAACCGATACGGCATCTTGTTGAAAAACTTTCATCAGACATCGAGGGGCTTGCTTGATATAGTTTTTGGAAACATTACAGTCCCAAGTCAAGATACGTGTTTGCAAACAGTAGTTCTTGTCAATACGATGCAGTAGAAGTTTCATTCCAGGAGAAATTGGACGGCCTGTTTTGAAGCACAGTCGTTTCGAGAGCAAGTCGATTTCGATTATTATTTTACTCGTTGATCACATCACTAGTGATTTTGATGCTTTCAATTTTCAGCCGTTTATCGATCGACAGCTGTACTTAAAACTTTCGCTCAATACATTGATAACAACAAGATGAACTAACCAGCTGTTAATAGATTGCTTAATAGGGAATAGCACTCAATTACTTCCACCAATTCAACTGTTAGAGCGTTAGAACAAATCGTTAGAGCGTTAGAACGAACCGTTAGAGCGTTAGAACAAATCGTTAGAGCGTTTGGACAAATCGTTAGAACGTCAGAACAAACTGTTAGAACGTTTGGACAAACCGTTAGAACGTTAGAAAAACCGTTAGCTATCCGTTAGCTATCCGTTAGTTTTCTAACGATAACGAAATATCGTTAGTGTACGTTTTCCCAAAGAAGGTCACGTTTTTGGAACTTAATCATTGTGCCCGGTACCCCCGTCCCCCCACCTCCTTCTTCCCCCAAAAGAAATCAGATCAGTATAGTCCTGCTTATCTCAAGATTGCATTGATGTTATTGATTATTGCTAGTCTTAATAAAAGGAGGTTTTTACACTACTCAGTTGCTCAAGAACGGCTATACACTCAGGGGTTTAGCCAGGATAATTTGTTCAGAGGGATGCACAATAGACCATTTTACAGTTGTGGACTTAGTACCCTGGCCTATGAGTGAATGTGAGCCTGAGGTTGACCTTGTTTTGATACAAACCGTCTTTGCTTTGTTATGGAAATTGTCCTTGAAAAATACTAGTTAGCATAAGATTAAGAATAACTTGATTCACAAAATAAAGCAGGAAGGTTTGTATCAAAACAAGGTCAACTCCATCCTTGCTTCCATCCATAACTGTAAAATGGCCTATTCTCCAAAAGCCCCTGCTCCCCATCCCAATGTCCCCAAAGATGAGGTTACTGTAAGACTAAGCATTTTTACTGTATATGAAATAAATGTAACTAAGTGATTTGAAAACTTCTTTATCGCCTTTTTGGGCTCATTGACTGTAGCACATCAGTCACATTTCATAACTTAGGGTTTCGTTCAACAAACGCAGATGCGTGAATCCCCTCTCTCTGTCATGTTATGCTGGTGTTGCGTGACAGAGGGGCTGGAACTGGACTGTCCCTTTTTAGCACTGTAAGTATAGAGAATCAAGACGTGATACTGAGACTTGAGTCTCAATTCTTGCAGGGATTGAGAATCAAGCGTCAACTCACTTTTGATCAGTACTTTATACACATCATCAGCCTTTTGATAGATTAAAAGACTGAATTTATTCCACCACATTAACACAGTAACTTATCCCTTTTGGTATCTTTTTGGAGGTCCTAACAATCCTTACTGTGAGGAACTGACACTATTACGCTGATTTATTTACTTTGCAGCCCCACAACTTGTCCGCGATGGTGACATCAATTACCTTGTATCTGATTACTTATCAGAAATTACAATGTCACTTCTAACAGCGGTCAAAAGAAAATCACCAGTAAGTTTCTTTATTTCAAGGTAATCATTTTGAAAAATATCACACTAACTGTCATTACTATAGCCTTGAATGTTTGGAAAGAGTATACAATGTATTTATTATATTGTGTTCACATGTGCTTCTTGATGAGTTTTTTGTGGCTTTTGTTTCAGACTTTAGGGTATGCTCCTGACTTCATTCAAGCTGTCATGAAACCGCTCATCAACCCAATCAAAGAGAAAGGTTAGTCTCACGGTACACCTGTAATATTTTTAGAGTGTGAGCAATGTCTTATTTTCATTGAAAAAATAATAGAGGTACTATATGCAAGCAAGATGCAGGAACTGAATGCATCAGCCCAGAGGAAAAAATAAGAGGCTGCTCCCTTAGCCAGAGTGAATGAGTCATGCATTACCTTTTTGCTGGAGAACAGATACATTGTACATGTACTGTTGGCCTGTGATTGGGGTGGTGATTCTCTTTTTGTGCCTCTCCTGTCTTGTGACCTCAGTCATAAGCCTGAGAAAACAGCTGATAGTAAATTAATGACATGAACACTGGTTTTCCCCTGAAATGACATCTGAGGAATAAGCAAGGAAATTCCATTCTGATGACATGTCACTACTCAGATCTGGTCATGGTCATGCCACAAGGGAAATTTGTTTCAACCAATCAGAAGCACCAGTGAGATCTAGGTAGTGACACATCATCAGTATTTCGGCTGTGTTCTTCGTTAACAACTGCGTCACTTAGTGGAGGTAGGTGCCCAGGATGTCCAGGGGCTTCCACTTTGGCAAAGCCTGCCCCTACACAGAGTTATGCCCCCATGGCTGGTAAACCTGCACCCTCCAGCCATGAGCCCCCATGCCAATGCAACTAGGCACCCGTCACACTAATTTATCAGTGGAAAAAAATAAAGGGGGGGGGGTAGGGATGTGGGGTAAAAGAATGATCCTAAGGCTAAACGAAGAGAGTTGCCGCCAGGAAATGCTGCACTAAGCACATGGAGATGATGTAAGCAAGGCTGACCGTGCTTGAGCCACTGCACTGACTGCTGTCTGACAACATGAGGGGGGTCGACCCAAAAAAAATTTAGAAGGGTTTGTATGGAGTTTTCTAAGCATAACTGGGCTATGACCTCAGAGACAATTTGCTCCGAAATGCTCATTTTTGGCAAGTAGGCCTCTTGGACATTGTTCTTTCAGAATATCCTGACAAATCCCATAATTTCAGAAATTTCATTTTTATGACGTCACACTTTAGTACTCTATAGTACTGGGCTATGTGTACTGGTGAAAGAAGTAATAAATAATATCAAGTACATGTACTAGTATGTACAATCTTTTCCATAGATTAGGCCAAACCTCTCATACTATCTCTTTTAGGGATCCGTGTGGTGAGTAATGCTGGTGGGGTTAATCCGCATGAATGTGCAAATGCGTTGATGGTCATTGCAAAGGAAACTAAGACTGATCTAAAGGTTGCTGTGGTTACTGGAGATGAACTCATGGGTGACGTTGAGAAAATACGACTTAGTGGCATTAAAGATATGGACAGTGGGAAGGATTTTCCTGCCAGTGTGGAGAGCATGAATGCTTATTTAGGGCAAGTAGTTTTCATGTTTTGTCACATATATTTTTACAAACTCTCATGCATATATATGTACCGTTCCTTTAAAAAGTAACTAAAGAGTATAAAAATCCCAAATATGCTCACTGGACTAGTGTAGCATTGTAGTTGTTTTGGGTGACCAACCACTGAATGTACATTTATTTTAAATTCATACATTTTGTATGTTATAGTACATGTAAGCTGTACAAATTAATGTTGTTACAGTTTAATCCTGTTGCTGTGCGGTTTTAATTTTATCTGTAGTTGCTTATACAGTTGACTCCCGATAACTCGAACCCTCGCTAACTCGAACCTCGCGCTAGCTGGAACCAAAATAGATTTCCCCTGGTTTTCCGTCATACATTTACTGTGATTTTACCCTCGGTAACTCGAACCCTCGATAACTCAAAACTCCGGCTAACTCGAAGTAATTTTTGTTTCCCCTCAGATCATTTCTATATAATTTTACCCTCGATAACTCGAACCATATTTTGAGCCCTTAAAAAGTCGGGAAAAAACAGTGTAGTGCCTCCGAAGCATTGAATTTTGAATTTCCCATTGAAGTGTTGTAGGCATATAGGTTACTAGTGGATCGATAGTGGAGCCGGCTGATGTTGTTTGTCACAAATCTAACGTGAAATAGCTTTACTTCTCAAAAAGTAAAATGCATGCTCTGTTTAGGCAACGTGTTGTTACTTTACGTTCTGATTTATAATCTTAAAGTATCTTTCAATTTTCACTCAACATTTCCACAATTAAATGTGATTAAAATGCTCACTGTGCAGTAAAATGGTTTTTTTCCTTACTCCCGGCTATTTTCTTCGAGCTCCCAATAACTCGAACTCCCGATAACTCAAACCTTTTTCGATTTCCCTTGACGGTTCGAGTTATCGGGAGTCAACTGTAGTAGGTAGTTCTGATTAATGCTGACTTTGTAGCTTCCGGTAAGTTTATAGTAACCTTCCCAGTCATTTTGAATTAGAGCTGTCCCTATTGCACGAGCCCTGGAACTTGGTGCTGATGTGGTGGTTACTGGACGATGTGTGGATAGTGCACTAGCGCTGGGCCCGCTCATGTACGAGGTAACAAAATAATAAATTATTTGAAATAATATTCTAAATAATCTTCATTCTGCTGTATGGTGTAGAAATGACCTTAATGCCTAGAATGTCGCAGGGCTGTCACTAACAGTCGGAGGCCGGGGATTTTCCCTGGCTACTATAAGTGTGAGCCCCAGCTACTTTGATAAGAAACAAAAGCAAAATAGAACCAAAAGAACTTCGTAGCTGGATAATTCCCCTTCTACTAATGCATACACCGACAACTTGAAATTTTAGTGACAGCCCTGATGTGTTTTCTGCAAGTAGCATTGATCCACTCTGTTGGATAAATATTTGCCAAGGGCTGTTTACACCATTGTATTCTTGACTTTTGAACTTCAAGCTTTTATGGCGTGTAAATTATGTCAGCACATCAATTTCTTCCTTGAACCCTTCGTTTGAAATTCCTTTTAATTCAATCCAAACTGAACTTCCCTTTGCCTGTCAAAGACTGTATTATTTTAACCCTGATTTTCCAAACCCCCTTATAATTTGAACCAGTTTGCTTTACCTAGAGTGGTTTAAAAAATTGTGATTCCACTGTACAATCTTCTAGCACAGTGTACATTCTATCTAATTAGGTCCGCAAATTGTTATTTATGCAGGTTTGTGTGCCCCATATGTCAGAAATAAGGTCTTTGACTAAAAACACTATGATTAAAGAGATTTGTAGAATACTGTTCATACCATTAGGCCCTATATACGGGGGAATTTAGTCAATGATATCTGAATGAAGGTTACAGAATGATGTATTCCTAAAAATACTCCAACTTTTACTATTTTTTGGTCACTTATAGTTTGGATGGAAGACAGATGATTATGACTTGCTTGCTGCAGGAAGGTTAGATGATTCTTTTTGATGAATATAAGTGACAGTACTACCGTATTTAGAAGGACATGTAGGTTGAGCATGATTGTCCGAGTGAATGTAAATGTAGTCCTGAACAGGACTGATGTTGACAGTGACTGACGTTTCAAGAACCTGTGCGGTAGTCATCGTCAAAGTCAAAGTGAGTTGTATCATGTCAATGGATGGTATTAAAGTATTAAACTCTGTTTATTAACCTGGTTGGTCGATTAAGTCGCGACGTTATTGGTCATCTGTCAGTTAAGCCATGATGTTATTGGCTATGAAGACTTGAAATTGGTGCATTTCAATCTGTTTATTGTCAGAGTTAAACAGTCAGTTATTGTTAGTCAAGCTGTTGGTTGTCCAGTTATTCTCTTGTAGTTTGCTTGCTTGAGTTTGTCAATAAGTTGTTTGTATGGTACCAGCACTGTTGACCACGATTCAGTGGTATTTTATCTAAGTTAGTAAACCAGCTTTCTAAAGTGAGTTGTTGACACGTCAGTTATCTTTTGTTCCTTGAGAATCTACCTTGGGAAACACTGTGATTTAAGGGAAACGGAATAAACTGGTCTCCTCAGGGACCAGTCATTTGTCAGCCCACATAGAAAATTTTGTACGCGTATTGTGTACAAATTTATGAAAGTAAATCTAAGAGTCAGAACATTCAACGTTACTTGTGTAGGGCTCTCTTACCCTCCGAAATCATGATTCAACCTGAAATATTTCAGGAAAAAATGAATAATTCATTTATAATTCACACGCATAGATGTCAACAATGTATCTCTTTCATAATAGTTTGGTTGGTCATTTGATTGAATGTGGGGCTCAGTGTACAGGTGGAATCTTTACTGACTGGCAGACTGTCCCAGACTGGTATGAAGTACTCAACATCTGTTTTAAGGTGATGTTGCACGGGACAATTCGCAATGACGATTTTTAGTGCAACACAGCATTGCAATGTTCGAACAATGTTGCGGGCATTCAAAACAATGTCACAACAATGTTGCAACACCGTGTTGGCCTAAAAATCGTCGTTGTGAATCTTCTCATGTAACATTACCTCTAGTCATTTATTTAATATTATTCTTTACACCATTGGCCAGATGTGGCCGCATTGGTAATTCTTTCACTAGGACCAGCTGTGGAAAATCCAATTATGTCACTTGTGGCAAAAGCACATTGAACTCAGTAAATTTGCTATGTTTAAGAGTGATAGGTGATAAGTCACAATTTTTTACAGACATTTTTATGGTGTACAAATGTTTGAAATGTTTTACGACTTTGCTGGGCCATAGCTTATGGTCCTTCAGGTCCTTGTCAAAAGCTAAAGAAAACCATGAAAGGTTCTGTTTCTTTGCACTAATTGGTAGCCTTCCCTCTTCCTTCCGATTTGAATGGAATGTATTCTTTAAATTCAAATTTTATGAATTTTGTAGTACATTTTCTGTCTTAAAAGATAATATTATTTAGTTGGCGTCTCCAGTAAGCTCCATTAGCGCTAATGACACAAATAAAAGTCTTTTTTATTATTATTTTAATTCTCATTTATTTCCTTTTTTCTTTTCAAATTAGGGACAATATTGGTTATCCGGTAGCAGAATGTGCTGCAGATGGCAAATTTATTCTTTCCAAGCCTCCTAACACTGGTGGACTTGTGTCACCATCTTCTGTTTCAGAGCAGGTAACAAACGTCTTCTCCAGCTTATACAGCAACAACAACAAAAACAAACTTTATTGGCTAATAAACACAAGAACACAACACTTGAAAGCCTGCAATTAGCTTCAAGCTATTCGAGTCAAACCCAAGGAAAAAAGAAAAAATATTTGCAAAAGTTACGGCGCTGTTCAATGAAACGTCAACTCCGAAATTTAAAAGCCAGCTTACAATTACGTTAATCGGTGCCAACAGTGCCATCGATCATACATGTAATTACAATCACAAGCAACTTACCTTCTAGACTGCATAACAGGCGCTTTGTGAGCTAAGCTAGGTGAACGCGGCATTTCGCGAGAAGCGCGAGACGAGGGGAGGAGACTACTAACGTTGAAACACAGGAACACAAAAAATGGGTTGAAAACTGCCAATCGAAAGCCAAAAACCATAAACTTTTGAACACGCTGAAGTAAACTTCTGTGTTCTAAGAATGGAGCTATGCAAACGTTGGTTGTCCTTTGAACTTCAGGGTTCTCGTGTTATTAAAAAGCGCAGTAAAGTATTCATCCAAAACTCCTCGATGCACTCCGTTGTTTTGTATTAAATCTTTAGGACAAGGAGGGTCCTAACCTCTTGCCTCCCATGCCTTGCTTTCCCAACTCCTGCCCCAGCCTCCTCCCTTTCTTCCCTCCTCTCGTGGCTCCCGTACTCCTCCCACCCCTCCCCCTCGCCACTGTCCTCCCTTGTCAATAAGGGTTGCTGCTTACGTACTACTTTCTCATACCTGATTGGCTTTTTCCCTGCAACTCAGTAACACTCCAGAAATATTTCTGGCGTTCATTGTTTTCTGAGTATCACAGTCACAAATATATTACATTTACTGGTCCTACAATTTTGGACCTTACGAAACAGCACTGTCGCAATAAACGATCGATGATTACTCAGTCCTGAAGCCTGAACTCCTGTGATTATGAATATTACATTTACTTATGTATGTTATTTGTCTGATAGCTTGTTTATGAGCTTGGAGATCCTGCTAGGTACATCCTGCCTGATGTAATTTGTGACTTTACGCAAGTTAGGCTACAAGGACTTATTGGTAAGTCTTTGTTCCATAATGGCGTCACTGACTGCGACTTGTCAACACGGGCAACGAAGTTTTTCAGAAAATAACTGTTCTAAGGAGCAAATATTGCGTAGAAATTTAAAGGCTAAAAAAGGGTAAAAATAAACGCTAAACATATCACAGTAGCTAACAATCTCAGATGAGACGAAAAAGCAACCTAAAACTTTCGTAACGACCAAATTTCCCCTAAGACATCCGAATAGATAATTTTTTGAGATGTACCGTAGTTTTTAGGGTTGTTACAAATTAACCAAACAGTCTTCTAAAGCGCAGAAGAAACCAGTTGAGACATTTCTGACATATTCGGAAGCATTCGGTTGTTAGGTGTCGCTGTTTTCATCTCATTTGGAATCGGTCCGTGAAAGTCAGGAATTTAGACGTGAGCATTGTTCATTGTTTCGTTAAAAATGTCTCATTTTTTGTCAGTGTATCTTTGTTGGAAATTTTAGCTGGTTAATTATGCTGTAACCCATCCACCAAAGAATTATCTGTGAGACTAAAGCTGGTCAGCAAAAATAGATACATTGTACAGTGAAACCCCACCTTACGGCCACCTCGGTAATACCGTCACCTCGTTATTACGGCCACCATTTTTTGGCCGCCTGGCAAAAACCGCCATACATTTTCTTGTAAAAAAAGACCCTCGTTAATACGGCCACCCCGTTAATATGACCAAATTTTTTTGGCCCATTGGTGACCGTATTAACGGGGTTCCACTGTATATGAACAGCAAAGGACCGGCATATACCAGAGTATATAAGGCTCTTAGAATGCGCTACCATCAGTGAATAGACTGTTCACAGTTCCCTATTTTTTCATGAGATCGTCGAGATATCAGCGCGTCCTACCATTAATGGCGGCCATATTGGTTTTCAAATGTACTGAGGAGGCACGCGTCGTGGATTATAGCTCTCTTTCTCCCAAACCTCCCCCTGCCCCCTTAGTAGTTTTGACACTGATGCAAGATGGCAAATTAACGCAAAGCGCTTGATCTCGTCGATCTTACGGGGAACTAGGGGACTGTGAACCAGTCTAATCAGTGAACAGCTTGTGCCCTTAGATTGTTTTTGTCTAAATCAGTATTATGATTGCGTAACCTGTTTACATTTGGTCCTGACTAGGTTATGACGGTGGCGCTGTACTTGTTCAGGGAGCAATTGGTGAACCACCTACAGACACTTACAAGGTATGTCATTTAGTAATGTATATCATTAGTAGGTGAAGTATGATCGTCCGAGTGAGTGTAGCCCTGAATGGGACTGTTGTCGACAGTGACTGTCGTTTCAGCAACCTGTGCGGTAGTCATCTTCAGAGTCAAAGTGAGTTGTATCACGTCACTTGTTGGCATTTAACTCTGGATATTGACCTGACTGGTCAAAAAAGGCACGATGTTCTTGGTCGTTTGCCAGTTTTTCCCGAGGGAAGGGGGCGGCTGTACACAGGCTATAATGTTATTGCCTTTAATGGCTCTAAATGTCATTAGTGCGTTTCGATCCATCTTTCGTTACAGTTAACGGTCGTTTATTGTTTGTCAAATTGTCGGTTGTCCAGTCATTTTATCGTTGTCAGTTTTGCTTGAGTTCGTCAATAATTCGGTTGTACAGTGCCGGTGACTGTGGACAACGTTTCAGTGGTCTAAATTGTCTGATTCAGTGGTCTAAATAGGCGGATTATCTGACGGATAAAATCAAACGAATTAATGGTCTAAAATGAAACCGTCCTGTAACCGTTTGACACGACAGATGACCCACCCGAAATGGATAATCCTTCTCTTGTTTGAAAACGGTCGTTTTTAAACAAGAAATGCATGGAGAAAAGTCTGGAGAAAGCCGCCAAGACTGCAAAATTCTATAGTACGACAAAATGTTTTATAACCATCCAGAGCGTCCTTTTCCTGTAGGTGTGTGCTACTTATGCTGATGGTTTTCGCGCCACTGCAGTTTGTCCAGTTGGAGGACCGTTTGCTTCACTCAAGGCTAGAAAAACAGGCGAAGCTCTCTTAAAAAGGTTTAAAATTTACTATTCATTGATAAAGCATCATAAGAAAATGTAAACTTGTTCCTTCTTCGTGGGTTTTGACAAGAGATCGTAAAGGGTTTCTTTGAAAGACCCGTTTTTGTAGAGGTTTTATCCAGTTCCTGTGGCATTTTCGTAGTCAAAATAGGAGAATTAAACCATATCAAACATGGTGGAAATCCCTCTGCTTTGGGCCGCCATTTCTTTCATTTGTTGACTGCGCCTCGCTTTGAAGCGCTGAATCGCGAAAGCGAGTCGTCCGGAAGTCAACCAGTTCACCGCATGGTCCGCATAGTTTCCAGAGGCCAACGCCCCTAGACTCCCTCTCTGTCCTATTACGAGATCTTGTTTTGGCTTTCATCTGTTTTTAACGTTTAGTCCCTTGGAGATTTCTGGTTCTATACTCAAATCGAAATGAATATTAAACCTCTCCCCAAAGTTGGTCATAGAGGAGTGTAATGTAATCGCGCGTGTTATGTTCTTAAAAAGAGAGGCCTAAGATTCTGGGACTAAATGAGCAGGGAGAGAAAAGACCGTAAATCTTATGTCGTTCTCTCTAAAAGGACAAGAAGGATGTTTAAAGAATTAAATCTGGATGATTACACAAGAACTCATATTCAGGTACTGAATAGCTTTCCAAGGCTGCCTCATTTAATTACAAGTTACATACATACATTACATACATACACTGTTTGCAGGTAGCCATTATGACACCTGAAGGAGGATCATGAGGTTATCCCTAAATTAAGATCTCTCCTTACAGATAATCCACCCAGTCCAGGAAAGGTTGGCCACACCAGCAGGGCCTGGTCTACGTCCCCTACTCTTTTCAAACAGTGGTATGGGTTCTTTTACGTTCCACAAGAACCAGATGAGTGAAAGTGCTGTGAGACGGGACCCACGGCTTTTCGTCCTTATTCGAGAAATCGCTAGTTAAGTTCGCTGCGGAAAAGCCATTACATTGTAATCACAGATAAAAAAGATCACTGTTTATCTAGTTTCGTACCATTCTACAAGCCTTCAAAGTCCAGCCGATTTTAAGGAAATTCTCCTCCATAGATTGTAGAAATTCAAGATGGGCCTATCTTGCCTGCTCGGTTAGCCAACCAGAGCACATGATTCGCTTCATCTTGCCTGCTCGTGGATTTAGCCATGTAATAAATCGTAGATATTATAAGAATGGACCTCTGACGCGAAGGTTCCTCTGACGGTCTTCATCGACTGTCAATAGGGAGCTTAAGCAAAGGCGTTTTTGAGCGACGCACTTCAACCTGAAGTAAGGCCTTCTATCATTTTATGTGCCTTGACACTACCACATTTGTTTACCCTTATACAGAGAATTTGCCCGAAAATTTTGGCAGGAACATTGCCTTAGAATGAAATAAGTCCACTTCCGGTTGACGGTTGTCGCTCAAAAACCCTTGAGCTGAGTGGCTGACCTCAGTTTGGTCACCTGACCAGTCCACGTAGTATGTTAGAAGTATGTGAGTAAGCGGTTTTTTCTGCTTACCTTTGTTCCATGTTTATTGAATTTCCTCTCTTGTAAACTGCCTGGCCTTTCATTTAGGTGATAGGCTCTGAACAAACGTATGGAAAACAAGCCTTTCCTGGAGTCATGACCGCAGTGAGTACACACATAATTCATAAAGACGATGTTTTCAAAAAGCAACTGAGTATGTTGATAATTCGTAAAACTATAAGACAAGGCGTGGTCACAGGGTGGTAGATTTTAAATCTGTAGGTCTCGGGCTGAGGCTAACAACTACTAGATCCCACAATCTGTTTGTTTCTTCGCAGCTTTGCTTGAAAAAATATATGACTGTTTGCATCTTGTCATTTCTAACTTCTTATGTTCACTTGAAATATTTGTTTGTGACATTTGCTCGAAATGTCGATAGTGCCATAAATTCTACATTTTACAGAGAATTACAACAAAAAACAAACAAAAAGCGAGCAGCAAACAAACACCACTAGATGTAATGACGGAGAATAGACACAGGCTGCAGCTACTTCTTGTCAATCGCCAGTTGGTTCCTAAAAAACCACGCCACTTTTAATTTTTATCTTGCTGGTTTTACAAGTGAGAGGAAGACACTTCCAAAAAGGCAGTTAAGTAATTTAAAACTAATTTGTCTACTGACTTTATTGAATATAAGACTCCTAGGGAAGCAGTATTATGGCTGGCAGCTCATCACCATCAGAGAAAAGCCCTTGAATTGTTTGCGATGGAAATAGCCTCTGCAGGCACTAGCATGGGTTAGTACATGTATATATGAATTAGAATGAACAGGCAACAAGTTTGAAGTTTATGGTCGATGTACAATTTTACGTTTAATTTTACATTTTCCTTCTTCCGTGCCTTATCCCAACTGCTCCCCTTTTTGACGAACGCCTTATTCCTCCTTAATTCCCTCTGAGTATTTTTTTGCTCTAATCACATACGTCACATACAGGTCGCCCTCTGCCAACGCGTTGTTTCTCAGATAAGCAACTTTGCTCCACAGACCCTCTCAAGGTGTATATAAATAGTTACCACCAATATGATAACTTGGGGGATAATTCTGGGATGGATCAGGGTCCCATCCATGGAGGGAACATGAATATATCTAGGTGCTTCATGCGTTCGAAAACGGGACAGGCTTCGGTCGATTGACTCTCCGTGGCGCGCCCTTTGTTACACTCATTCTGACTCCACTAACACGAGACATTCAATGTGAACAGTTTATTTAGGATGCGTCAGTCAGTCACCTGTTGTAGATGTTTAGTTACATCAATGTTATACCTATAGCAAAATACTGTTACATGTTCTAGGCTATAACGTATGCTACGCCAGATACCAAAAAAAAAAAAACACTAAAAAACCGCCCTTGAGAAGTGACCAAAAAATGGGTGGAAACGTAGTGCCCCACTAATGCAGTGGCACAAAACCCTGGGAAAGGGTTTTTAATAAGTGAAAGACATAAAACGGTGAATACCTTGTTACACAGACTACTCCAAAAAGAGACTAATTTCAAAAGAGTGTAGGACCAAATGCCTAATTACATGAATTATATACCGAAATAAGGTTATTCCTAAAACATACAGATCCGAACACGAAAGAACATCGAGAAGTTTTTGCAAAACAAAACAAAAACGACCACGACGACGGAGCTGACGTGGAATGGCTCAAATCTGAGCCAAAACCATAAATACTCCGAAACTATCCCACAAGCCCTTGCGCCCCTAAAACGTTACCGTCAGAATAATAATTTCTGACTAACTCGTTCCCATGTCTCTCAAACGTAAGAAATTACATTTATCGTTAGCGAGCCATTGTTTGAAATTATCTATGGAAATATGGAAAATTATAAGCAAGATGCAAATTCGTTTAGTTAAATTTGCTTTCTTCCCCATAAGTTATTCGAGGCTCGTTGAATTCTAGGAGAAGTTGAAGCTCGAGGTTATTTTAATAATTTCAAACTGTTTGGTTTTTAACCGGTAAATTGAAGGCTCTCTATTTGCTTTTATAGCTCCTGGACTGACTGCCATTGTTGGAGGAAGACCAAGAGTGTAAGTATAAAAACTTTAATTCAGTTGATCTCTTTGAAACCATAAACTTGTATGCAAATTAACAGTTTACATTCAAATTTCATCATCATAATTATTTTTGTATATAGATCTCCCCTTTTGAGGCTGTATTCTTTCTTGTATCCCAAAGACAAAGTCAATGTAAGTAAATGTACGGTAAAGAATCTTTAAAAGCGATTTAGTTATTTGATGGTCTCTGGTGATTTCTGTATTAAAGTATTTGTTTGTTTGCTTGTTAAGATTTAATGTAATTAAAATAAAGCTGTGATAGAATATTATTTATTGTAACTTAAAATTGTAGTTTTTCCTTCCTTTTCCTTTCCTTTCCTTTCCTTTCAATTTATTTTTCTTTTAACTGGTCCGCCTAGATTAGCAATTGCTATTTTGCGGGCCAGTCTATTGTAACCAATAGTCTTATGAAATAAAGTTGAAGTTGAAGTTGAAGTTGGTCCTTTAACAAAGAGGTTTTGAAATGTGCAAAGTTTCGGTTATTTTCTTGGTGGTGTGGATGCAGCTGCAGTCTGCAAGTGGCATTACTTAAAAAAGATTGTACATACGCTGAGTAATGCTCGTAACACAACGCCAAAGCTAACCAAGAATAGTTTTTTAACATTAAGTACCCCTTTCTCGCTAGCCCGCGTATACGACCTTCTCTCCTCGCTCCTTGCCGCTAGAAACATTTTGTAGGAGAGACGAAGTCCCAAGCGACGAGCGGCGAGGAGAAACGGCTGTATTTGCAGGTTAAGTTTTCGCTCTTGCCTAGTCCCTAGGCCTCAATATCCCGCGTTTCGGGTCACGTGATCCGTGTGAGTTTCCTGACTGTTCGTCTGGGATACGTAACCGAATTGCATTGACGGGGAAGGCCTGGGAAGAAGCCTTTCGGGGACAAGGCGAGAAAGCCTTCACAAGTGATGACCCTTGTTACTTTTGAAGCTTCTTGCTTGAACTCAGTCAAACTCCAAACAAATTGCATGGCTAGTCAGTCGGAGAAAGTTATGTTCAGAGCTTTTTCTTTGTACTTATTAGATTGATATTTACATGAACGGTGAACATGTGGAGACGATGCCCGAACCTAAAACAGGAAAGTCACGTTATAAACGAGAAAGAGAAACGACGATACAGGATGCAGCACCGAGGATGAGTAAGAGTTTTGGAAAAAATCTCATATCATCCAAAACCGAGTCTCCCACGCTTACGTTCTTAGGGCTTCGTCACGCGTTCCTCCCCAACAGATGCAGATTTCAGATTTTTTATTTTTTGCACTTTTCAAGAGGTTACTACAAAAATTACAATACATTACAAAAGTAAGAAAAAATAAAACAATAAATTACATAAATCATCAGAGGTGAAATGATCGCAGTGATAAAAGGAGCTTAGGCTTTCGAATTAGTCACTGCCTCGTGCAACTAACCGGCGTAGACATTTACATAAAACTGAAAGTAACGTATAACGGAGAAAGGAAAATTGAAAATGCATAAAGTCTTACTTACGATTTGAAATAAAAACAGTGGAAATGATTATTGACAGTAAGGGCAGAGAAATCAAATTACCCATTGGGGATTTAAAAGGTACAGTTTTTATTGCTTATATAAGTTGTAGAGGAGGTTTTTTTTAAGTTAGAGGGAATGTTTTCCCAGATTTTAGATCCAACAGATGCAAAAGTGGCAGCTCCCTAATTATTGTTTATCCTAAGCTGATCCTTGGCCGATGAAAATTATGATTGGATACAACGAACGTTCTTTGGGGAGGAACGCGTGACGAAGCCCTAAGACGCTCCAAGTGGGAGTCTACCTAAAACCATCAAATTCAAATATTGTGGAGCACACACACACACATATGCACAGGGTATTTAAAGTAAAGACGCATGCGCAGGGTACACAAGTATAGGCCTTATTTAAAAATACCATAATGCTCTTTGTTTTCCCTCCAAAATGTGCATAGGGGTTTCTGTAGGAAGGATTGTAAGTCCCAAGAGAAATTTTGAAGGGAAAACAAAAAGTATTATGGTGTTTTTAAATAACGCCTGTTGGAGTTTAAAGAACCCATATTACATATCCTCTAGTCTTGAATTCAGTAATACGTACAGCCTGTGAGCCCTTACAGGTCTTAAGCTTTCGGAGGCCCATGTTAGCAGTTTGAATGACGGCCTTAGTCTAATTCTCTGACGATCTACATGTAACGAGAGATAAGAAAGAGCTCTCGTACTGCGCTCTGCGCCTTAATACCATGTCTTTAAATTTGGTTAAGGGTGTGAGAGATGACACTTGACAAAAGAGAGGATTCCAATCTTAAGCAGTTATAGGAGAAAAGAAATATTTAAACACATTTTTCTTACAATAAGGTTCAATCATGTTATACCTAAGGTTGCTCCTAGTCCGGTTTACTTTGCTAAAAGTAAAAAGATCGCAGTTATTGGTATGAAAGAGACCATGGATAAAACACTCTTTTACATTAGGGTTAATTGAGATTTTTTTTCTTTTTTCTTCGAGAATATCAAATCACAGTTTATTTGTTATTAAAGGAACACTCAATGTCCATTTACAGTCATTTGATGACCATAGATAGGGTGCTAGTTTACTTCTTTATTAGCAGAAGAAAGCGAAAGTTATGAGAATTTGTTCTCTGACCATTTCTAACGATATTTGATTTGTTGTTTCTTTTCAAAGGAATGCCAAAAGGTCGTTGCACATTTCCACTCAGCTCGTTGGCGCTGACAAGAAGCGGAGATAAAGGAAACTCTGTGAACATAGGTAGTACTATTACAATCATATTCTGTGTCTTTTTTTCGCTTGGAGGCGTCCGTACATTCTTATCTGGATAAGGCGACAGAGAAATGCTGACCACGTGAATCACCTGATCATACGACACAGCAGTAGGCCAGTACCTTAATCATGCGCACAGGCAGGAAGACACTTTTAGGGTATTTGCAGAGCCTCCCGTGTCTTATTCAAAGAAAATAAGATCAGCGAACGATTTGAGGGTTTTATCGGCAACGAAAACAAAAGAGAGAACGTAAGCACTGGTTATAGAATGAACGAGAAATGCAAATACAGTAAGAAGAGTAACCGAGTGCAGTACTTGCATTTCGCGGGAGGAGTAAGTTGAAATTTTATATTGGTGGAGGTTTAACTCATTAGAGTTGTACACCAACTTAATTTCTTATCTTTACAGGTGTGATTGCTCGTCATCCTTCTTATGTTCCCTTTATACGCGCTGCTCTTACCGAGGAGTCTGTAGAAAAATACTTCAAGCATTTATTTCCCTCATTACCAGAAGCAGGACGTTGTCGAGTAAAACGGTAAAGAAACTTCCGTTGTTGGTTAGCCTGCGTAGCAAGCATTTCCGTGCGGTTTCGGAGAAAAGAACGAGGAACGAGAGTCAAAGACCACGCGAAAAATGGGCAAATAAAACAGTGGGGAGAACTCTTGTTCCATTTTTCGCGCGGCCAAAACCGAAAATCCTGTTCCACGTCGTTCCTCGGTCTTTCTTTGCTCCGAAACCACACGGAAACGCTTGCTACGCAGGCTAGTTGTAGGTAGACTTTGACCTATGTTGGCGTTTAGTATGTTGGTGGTTTGTGCGGCTAAACTCTTTCACTCCCAATGTGCTTTAAGTCACTAAGTGAATAAACTGAAAAATAAATAGATAGTTTATTTTGAAAAACGCTACAAAAGGAACGGTACTAAAAGCACTGCTGAATAACTTTCTTTTCAATGTTATGCCACAGGATTTTATCCACGGCTCAAAAGATAGAACTGCACTTAAGGGGTCATCAGTTACAGCAGTTTACTGTGCTTGTTATAGCTATTTTATAGTGCTTTTAAAACAACGGCATTAGTTTATTTTATTAAGCTACTTTGTGGTCTTTGCAGATACGAACTTCCAGGAATCAATGCGTTTAACTTTGTACTAGAGGACGCGTTAGGAGGTGGCGGTGTAACATCTTTACGTAGCGATCCACAGGTAAAATGGAAAGAGTTTTTTAAGGAATTTAGTGAAAAGGATTTTCTGAGTGATTGGGGCCCTTGCCCGCCCAAACTGCTTCGCGAGTCGCGTTGAACCAAAAAAACCCTCTAGTTACTGCCCTGGTAGCAAAGGAGAATTTCAATTTATATTTATCGTACAGTCACGCCCTACGTGATATATAGTTCTTCTTTTTTGTGAATTCATAACTTAACATTCTAAAAATCACAAGCACCTACAGCTGTTTAGGTGAACACCGCTTCTGAATAGATCATTAGCTCACTTGCTGTCTCCCTCGCTGATTGGTTGACTGGTGGACTATTTGATCGATTGACTGATTGATTACCCTTTATTACAACATTGATAGGCCTTTTGCACGATGACATCTTTTTACTACTTAGACCAGAATTCAAGACGTCTTTTCCTTTCATGAGGTCTCGTGAGGTTAAAATAATGAAGGCCCTAATTTGCGTAAGAAAGCAAAATCCTGAAGGATTTCGGTAGTAGAAGTAAAATGACGCTATTGTGCAAATGACCCGTTCAGGTACGGAAAAACGGGCAACAAAAATCATGCAACTTGTCTTTCAACATTGCTGCAAAACGAGTTGAATAGTAGCCTCTCCCTCCGAAAAATAGCGTGCTATTTTTCGGAGGGAGGTGAAGCGACGACCAGAAAAATGCGTCTGCTGTTCGCAGGCTAGTTGAATAGCGATTTTGCGCGTATTACCACCCACATCAAACCTGTCTTGTATCAAAATTAGGTTGCTAACAGTTTTTAACGTGAGTGATAAAACGCGCAACATTGCTTTTCCGCTCATTTTGCAACAATGTTGCAAAACAAGCTGCACGTTTTTTGTTGCCCATTTTACCGAAGCTTTAGTTGTTTCATTGATAATGCTTTTAAAAAAGTGTTTGCTTGCGAAAAGAAGAATTCTCTTCTATTCCTTTTTCCTCGTTTTATACCTTCTGATTGACGGTAGCGATTCTTTATTCATTGTCACTTTTTTCTCAATTCATTTTAATTTTCATTGCAGGGCAAGGCACTTGGTCAGATGCTGCTAGATTTTAGGATAAAGAATGTTCCCGACATTTTACCATCTATTATTGAACCAAACCTATAAATAATCGTACCTCTTGGGCAGAATTAACATAAACTCTACTTGCCTCTATTGATTGGTTCCTCTTAAACAAGGATCATGGAGCTATGGGGCTGGTTGGGCTATAGCCCCACCAATAGTTTCGGCGGGAGTTTTGTTGTTTTATTTCTTTTGTTTTTGCATTTACAGAACTACTTCTAACCTCTGTGCAACGCCAGCAAAATTTTCTTCGTTAAATGTACGTTTATGTGCAGAGAACATAAAGAATGGCGAAAAAAAATTGACAAAAATTTCTCACGATTCTTAGAAATAAATTCTTTTCGGGTTATTTCAGAAGCTCTAAATTTTTCGTGGGAGCGTGCCCCTCCCCCAACTGATAATATGCAGATAATCTCGGCCCCAAATCTTAAATATACTTCGTTGTCCCTGTTAGAGGTGGGCTAGATTGACGTGGACGATCGTTGGAACGATGCAAAGGGCACTAGCTGCTCCGTAAGCTGTTTTGAAACTCTTTTGAAATCCCTCTGAAATTGGGAAGCTAGCCCTAATGATATGTAAGAGCTAGCAGCATGGACAGAACGCAGATCGCATTGTATCAGTGTTGTATTTGCTTGAAAATTTCATATACCATTTGGGCCGTTGGAAAAAAGGGGTAGACAATTTCTCTAAAAAGAGTCAAAGCTACACCTGTACTTATACACAGATTCGAGTAAAATCTTGGTTTCTGCCTTTTGAATAATTCAATGTTTCGAAAGATTAAACCATTTCTAACATGAACCTCTTTAGAAGGTTATGTTCATACTATACCGGATGGTTTTTTGTGCCAACACGAAAAGCTATCCGATGTGTGACTCATCACTTTAGAGACCAGCGTGGAGCAGCTTCGCTCCATTACAGAAGCTGCGCCGTAAATCACTGTTCTTGTGTGTGAAAAGAAACCCTATCCGGTATGATTTTCGTGCCGGCGCAAAGGCTATCTGGTATCGTGTAAAAATATCCCAAGCCACTTTTTGGTCCATACATTCATTCTTGATTTAAAATCCCTGTAACAGCCTCGATCATTGGCTGCAAACGCAATGGCAACTAAATTGGGTTCTGCAACTACCAAAAACAAGTAATTTCTCAACAATAGCTATTAATAAGTTACGAATACAAAAAGTGGTGTACAGAACCTTAGTTGCTTTTGTTAACATTATTATTTTGCTCTAAAATTTTAGTTTACATAATGCTATAAGAGGCATTAGTTATCTTTTAGAACTGAAAATAAACTATCATAAGTCAAGTTTAATTGGTCTTCATATACATACGAGGGTGCCCAAACGTTTTCTGGGATCCGGGATTCGGGATATGAAGCAAAAAGAGTACGAGATCGGGATTGAAAGTGTTCGCGAGATGCGGGATTACAGGATTGAGCGAAAATTTGTGTCGGGATGGGGGGATGAAGAATTCATGCTACAATTTCTGTTTTTCGTTTCTCCGCTGGTCTTTTTGTGTAGTTTGAGCCCTTGTTTATAACACCCCGCGCAGAAGAACTCACCAGAAAGGCTTCAAAATGGTTGCAAAAGCAATTCAAACAGTAAAAAGACAAACTGAGAGATACAAGGGAAGTCATTTTTAATTAGAACCTTATCAAAGACAGCATTTCGGGCATATTTTGTTGTGTACTGGGTTTTACCGGGTCCCATAGAGTCTGAGCTGCCTATGTTGAAACCTGCTCATAAGTAGCCTCCCCGCAGACATGCGTGACAAACGAACCCCAAAGGACGTCTGCGGGGAGGCTAGCTCATAAGGGGCCTCCAAATAGCACCTCTGACCCAAGAGATGGCTAAAAAAGTGTCTGGTTCTTTTTTTATTAAAAAGTTCTATAAATATATTCAAAGACATATTAATGTTCATCTCTTGCTTTATGTTCTTAAAAAGGTTTAATTTATAATATCCAAACCCTATATTAATCTTCATATATTACTTTATTCCTTATTTGAACTGAATTGTTTTTCTACTTGTGCCTTTGTTTTGCAATCTTTATTTATAAGACCATATGAACATTACAAAGTCGGAGTCCGGCGCCGATTTATGCCAGTCTAAAGACTAGACGAACGTGCCTAATCGGCGCTCGAGTTATCGAGAAAAGGTCTCATTTTTACGGGTTCAGTGTCCGTGAGAAACAATTAAATGAATGCCACTGATCTTTTTTTCTTTTTTCTGATCACTTTCCCGTGGTATTTTTTGTTTTACATTACAATGCGATCAAAATTTTTGAATTTCTGTTTGATTCAGCAACCCAGTTAAGAGTACTTTCCTATGATGTCTTCTGTTATGAGTTTACAGCTGGTGTTAGTCCATATGAAGGATCCTAACTTGTGAAAATTGTTGGATGGGCATGTTTGCCCTGGAATCTAAACCCTTCACGAAAATGGTACTCTTTTCATATACCCTATTTACTTGGTTAAACGCCGCGGCGTTTGTTACATTTTAATTGTTGCCTATGTGGAGACTTATTTATAGGGGGCGTCCTTATTTAAGGGCTCAAGGGCTACCGAAATGGCAGTTTGGCTCCCAGGGGGTACTGCCATATATGGGCTATATAGGTATGTGCAGCTGTGAAGGGTGGTTTTCAAGCAGTTTACTCTGGGATAGGGTATATAAATCAGGGAGCTTGGGTCTAAAATAGGGTATCATTTTCCAGGTGGGAATTGCCACCCTAAAATATAAAAAAATAAAATCGGCAAGTTAAAATTTATGCAACTCTGCCTACAAGACACTCTAGGGTGGGGCAGGGGGGGGGGGTGTGGGGTTTAGTTTAGTATAGGGTAGCAAAATTCACCTGAACTAGCTCTGGTATAGTCTAAGGGTTCCAGGGTCCCAGCCGCACATCCACCCCCCAAAATTCCCAAAGTAACCCCCCTTGGTTTGGCTTACCCTTTTCTATACCTCATGTCATAAAATCCCTAACCTCATATCCCTCTAAAACTAAAAAAAAGCCCATTCTAGTGTACAGTGGACTAGGACAAGTCCTCTTTTTTACACTCGGCATAAGGCAAATAAGCTGAATGCCCTCTACTTGTCCACATAAGTTGGACAAGCTAAGAAAATTATTGTGTCAAATAAAGTTTGCACCGCTTGTTTTAGCATTCCCAACTTTGGAACAAGTTTGACATTATTTTTTTCACTTTTCTGCAAAACCAGCAATCACAGGGTTTATAAGAGCCAATAAACTTCTTGCAAGCAAAACAGTATCCCAAGACCCCAAAAAAGCTTCCGATGACCCCTTAACCCATTGCTTTTCTGCCTGCACTGTCTTGAAGCCGGCTTCTCTAATTCTGGTCAGGGTCTCCTTGTTACAGCGACAACCATTCAAAAATGTGGGAAATATAAGTAGCCTTGTTAAAAGGTGTTGAGTGAAGTAACGCAATGTCCATGGTTTCCCTGTTGAAATAACAACTAAATGATTAATTTTTACTAATAAGGACATATTTCTCTGTTTGATCATTAAGAGAAATCAGCATGCCCCACAGCAAACCCCCCCTCCCCTAAAAAGATTGGGATTAGTTTGTTTTCATTGTGGAAGGGCAAACTACAGCTATCTGGCTTGTTCATGTCCTGTGGGGGGAGAATTTCACAACAGTCTTTGTCATTGGGATGGGAAATTTGATACCATAAAGGAGGAATGGAAGATTTGAAGAAACTGCCACAAAATAATGTTTACGATAGTATCTTACTAATTATGGTTGAGATTGAGTGGTCATTGAAGTAATAATAAGCAAAAAGTTTGTCCTACATAGTGAGGAGAGGCCTACAAAAGCTCCACACTTCATAAAAATATAACTATTGCTGTTTTGTTTAATGGCGTTAAAGTCTCTTGGGTTTTCTGTCTTGTTTTGAAAGGGCAATGGGTTGATCACCCATAGCAAAACAGCAACATTTTTGGGTTAGCCATGAACTGAGCACTGATCATCAATGATATTGAAAGTACAGGAATGTGGGTTGTAACACACTATAATTGCATAAGATGCGAGCTTCACACTGAAATATCCACCACACTCTCCCTGGCCCAGCATATATAAGTAAGAAATAACTCTAAGTGACCCTTGATGGCTGTGATAGGTGGGGGTGGGGCATGTTGACATTTTTCACTGTAGAGTTTTGAAATTATGAAAGTCAGTGATAATGCCTGATGCATGATTCTTAAGTTATGTCCTCAGGAATGAAACCTCCCTTTAAAAACTATGCAAAGCTGCAATTAACACACACAAAAAAGTTCTATGACAGGCCTTTTAGAGTAATCATTCTTATGGTCCTCATGCCTATCGAGGCATAAAGAAGTAAATAGCTGTCATTAGGGGTGTAATGTAAAATCAAATGTATCTTAGAAACCTAGGTTACAACATTTTTAATTTTACATCCTTTAAGCAGTGATGGCAATGAAAGTTGTGACAAAAAGTGTGAAGACTTTTATTAAAATTCTCGTGTCTGTCACCATTGTCTTGCTACAACTCCCTATTATTAGAGGTCAGACTTTATAGGTCATAACAAAGTTGAGTGAACTAACCTGCAACATGCTCAAGAAAGTAAAATCTTCCCCCCTGAAACACACCAAAAATTCGAAGTCAAGGCACTCTTAATATCACGGAAGATACAAGGACTTCATATATTTTGACCATGTCAAAGTTTAAGCACCTGGCCAGAACTCAGTATTTTCTTTAAGTCATGCACGCCATGGAGAAAAATTGCGAGTAGATTCTGTATCAACCTCAGACAGCTCAGGGGCAAGCACAACTTATTTTTTTAAAATACATTTTCAGCAACGAACAAACGAAAATTGGCATCCTATTCAAGGGCCAAACCCAAAAAAACAGCCCAGCTAACAAAGGATAAGAATTAAATGGCAAGACAAACATTCATTAAACTAAAAGATGATTTGTATCCTGTGTTGTGGGGCATTTAATATGCACTTGTATTTTTGCTGATACAATTTGAGTACCCTATCTAAGGATCACACTGGGAACACAATGCCAACAAGGGCAAAAACAATACCCTCAAACACCATACCGTATCGGGCGGCACATACCTATCTAGCCCATATATGGAAGTACTCCCCCCCGCTCCCGCCGCCGCCAAGGGAGGCGATGGATTTTACTTACAGGCACCAAGACTCTTTTCACTTCTCGAATTGTTTTCGTCGTTTGATCGTCAGTAAGAGAACACAGTACCAGCGTGCAAACAACAGCAGCAATGGAGTTATCCTCCACACCAACTTTCCCAGATGAACAGCTCATGTCCTCTGCTGAGGCTACCACAAACTTCTTCAAGTGAACTCTCTCGCCTGCTTTCTTCAAGTTTTCCGTGAGAAGTTTTTCAACGTGTGGATTTGAATCAACAGCTATGAGAGATATTCCTTCAGGATAAAGATGGAAGTTCTCTCCCGCACCGATACCTATTTCCAAAACATCGCCTTCCAGTTCTTTCAATCGATTGCTGAGATCAACAAAAATCTTCTGTTTCAGTGGCGCAAAGATTCCTTTCGTCGCTTGTGAAAAGTTGGATTCCAGTTTGGCAAAAAACTTCTTGTAGAAATCTGTAGACACAGCGATCCGTATGACTATAAGAAGCAAGATTACTGCTAATGATGGTATAAAGAAATCAAAGGACGAGAAAACTGACAAACACTCGAGCGCCATATTGAAGTGGAGGGTTTAGTGGGAAGAGAGGAAACGCCTTGGGAGGTATCCCTGAAGGAGGTTATTGGAATGTCACGTGACGTGTACAGAAAGCGGACTTAAAGGTTGCGTTTCTTTACTAAAATTTTTAATCCGAAAACGGATACCATAAAATTCCGAAAATAAGCTCCGGGGCTTATATTTTTCAAAGGCCCTTTTTGAGGGGCTTATTTTTGGGGGGGGCGAATATTCGGAGGGCCTTATCTACGGAGGGAAATTTGCGTCTCAAAATCGATTGGGCTAGCCGTATAGTTGGAAGTAAATTTACCGTTTTTGCTTTGTTTTCCTTTGTATTTCAGGGCAATTTTCCAAGTACAAGCCCCCGGGGGGCTTATATTTGGAAGGGCGATTTAACGGAGGGTCTTTTACGTTACTGGTTTGGAGGTCTTATATTTGGAGGGGCTTATTCATGGCGGGGCTTATTTTCGGAATTTTACGGTATTTCATTTCTTTACTAAAATAAAAAAACGGATCATTGATCAAATGATCCACAACGGAGGTGGATTCCTTTGGATCACATCGAAAACCGGATACTTTGGATACATGACCCGAGGCGTTTCTTTACTACGGATCCGAAAAGAGTGAATATAGCCAGCGGTAACTCTAAACTTAACACTTTTAATACATGACATAGATCAGCTTTTTGACAAGACTTCTTATCTTTACGGCCATTTTTGCAGTCCATTTTACCCGTTTTATCGGGGTGGTAAAATCGACCTGCATAATCCCATTGTTCTAGTTACAACGAAGAAAACTACTATACACAACTTCGCTGGCGCGTATTACAAGACTTTACTTTTCAATTACATATCTTATTTCAACTATCCTAAAGCTAACCGTCCAGAATACAATGAAAGATCATCAAACTTGCAACCTTGTCATCAGCAGCCGTGTTGTTCTTTCTCCGGGATACCGTCGATATTGTGGGCCGTTTCTATGGAAATGAATGAAAAATAACCCCTTTTTGGATACATCATTTCTTTTCTCAACGAAAAATCCTAATGATCCGGACTTTTGATCTGATCTTGGATTTTAGTAAAGAAACGCACCCTTAGTCAATTGGGGACGGACCATTCGTTGGCACTGCGCGTCTAAGGCGCTTTAGAACTTAAGCACGCGCGTTTTTGAGACGCGGACGGTAACCGGAAGTCACCTACTTTCACTTTTAACTTGTCCTCACACAACCATATTCACATTGCTAAGTATCTTTTCTTCATTAGAGATGAGTAATATAAAAATCTGGGAGACAATACGGTCCTAGCATGCGAAATCTTCTCTTCCGGTAGCCGTCCGCGTCTCAAAAACGCGCGTGCTTAAGCTCCCTAATATAACGGCTACGGCAACGGGAACGGCAAAAAGCAGTAGGTTTTGATTGGCACGTGCCTCACGCTTTTTTGAACATTTCTCTACTCAGCATTTTATTGAAAAAATGAAATCAACAGAAGATATGTACATAAACTCTTGTGATAAAGCTCCAAGACATAAAATCACATTCTAGTGGCCCTCCAGTCCCCTGTTCTAATCACGTCCCAACACATCAAGAGAACTCAAGTTAACAATTTAAAGTTTTACATTGCAGTTGTTTTAATACTGTCGTCATCTACAGTGGCTATTTTGGCAACCCGAAAGTTGGGAGTTAAGAAATGACGATTGGGCGGTGTAATTTGCAACATTTTAAAATGAAGTAAAGGATTTGCAACGTAGTTAAACTTCGATATAACCACAGCAAAAAGCTTGATGAGCTGGGTCACGGCCACACCACGAAATGCACCCACTCGGACCATAGAGGTTGTTATTATGTTTGGAAACCAAGAAATGAGAAAAATAGCACAAATTTGCAATGTCATTTTGGTTATCTTATATTCGCGTCGTCGATTTACAGAGGTTAAACGCGTGAAAATATGAGAGCGAAGCTTTTTTAAAATCCGAAAAATTGTGATGACGATTACTATTGCGGTGATGACGTTGGGTATTGTACGTAAAACTACAGAGTAAAGTACAATGATATGGTTGTCAGGAATGGTGACAAAGGAATTGTAAGGGTCCATTCTTGAGCAGACAGAAGACTCCTTGCGTAGTATTAAACCGTGGAGAAGAGCAAACAGAAATCCTGCAACCCAAGTGACGAAAATCACTCTTTTAACATTCGTTGGTGACAAACGTCGCTTCAAGGGAAATATGACACAATCCTGCCGATCAATGGCCATCATAGACAAAGTTGAAGCGTTGATTACGGTAAAACCCATGGAGGAAGAGTATCCGATTTTGCATAATATGTCCAACGGAACGTTACCAATCCCTGGAAAATAGTTCACCGCCGCCATTCCTAAGATCGCGGGCGCTGATATTAGAGAAGAAAGAAGACCATTTAAGGAGAGGCTTGCGAGTAACTGATGTGGAACGTATCGGAGGTCTCTTCTTCTTGCAAGGATTGCGCAAACCCCAAAGTTGCCAACAGTTCCCACCGTAATAGCGATTGCTAACAATATAACAACAGAGACTGCAATTTCTTGAGAGGGAACTGGTAAATTGAGATAACTATCCTCAGTTACCCTTGAGCGATTCATTAGCGAGTTAATAACGGTTAGCCAGGTGCAGGTTTTATGATGACTTACACAGTACAGTGCCTGATGAAAAGAGGAAAGGACACTGGATAAGTCTGGTGGACAAGAAATCGTGAATGGATACCGTATTTCCTCCAATAACAGCCGCCCCTCGATTAATCGCCCACTCGAATAATCGCCCCTCTTAGACGAAAATAGGGCGATTAACATAATCTACTCCGAGGCAGAGTCATATACTCATGCCTTACAGTTAGGTAAACTAGATAGGTTTGTGCTACAAATATATGGCGAAAATGAAGTCCCCCAGCCACCCTCTGCACCACCTACTTCCCAGCCCACTTCTGGACGCGCCTAACTACACCTTAAGGCAGAAAACACAAAAGTATTATCTTTTCCGGAACATGCAGGTCTGTAGGACAAAGAGAGTGGAGGACTTCTTTACATTTAAATTTTTTAAGTGATTCAATTGTTATTTTCATTGTTATAACTGTAAATTACTTACTCTAAATAATAGTTCCCTTAAGATTGTAAAATGTACTCGATAATTCAGTTCTTTTTACTGCAAGAGAGCAGGGGCGGATCTGGGGGGAGGGTGTAGGGGGTGCGCACCCCCCCCCCCCCCGAGATGACCTGCGGTTTTCTAATACAACTGGTATTCTGCAAAAAAAAAAAAAAAACTATGTGGTTTATTGGCGTTGAAGTAGAGCAAGAGACGAGTGCACCCCTCCTAACAAAAATCCTGGATCCGCCCCTGGAGAGTTCTAATAAACTATTCACTATCAATCGCGATTTGAATACTTTCTGTTTTTCCTACATTGCTGAGTATAGGCCATAACAATATTATGCCTCCTGAGCGAAGACCATCCGAAGGCTTTGACACATTTTATTTTTAAAACGGTTTTGGCGCGAATTTTGAATATCTTTTAAATTCCACAACCCAGTTAGAAAAACCTACAGACCTAAAAATGATATTTTTGTCCTTTTAATAACGTTTAATTTTCCTTTTTGATATCTTATACTTCGAATGTGCTCATAGACATTGCGGACATTCCAAAATGGTCCGTAAAAACGCCGTGAAAATAGGCCTAGCCTAGAGTTACTCGCTCAGGGTTCGGTGCTCCCGAACCGTCCAAGGATTAAAAATTGACAACCTTAATTTGCTTGTTACGTAAAAAGCCGTTTTGTTTCAGGTGATCAGGTATGGTCAAGTCTGGGAAAGAAGAAAAAATTGAAATGGAATGAAAAGACGCCAGCCCATACGGCAGACATCTTAAAATGATTGTTCATCGTATGAATCTGGCCGGAATGGTTGACTCCGATTTCCACTTGATGAATAATTAAGCAAAACAGATCACGTGACTCTTTTTCGTCTGTTAATATTTTTGTAATAATTATATTTTAAAAAATCAAGTTTCTGGTTTATGTGAACCAAACGTGCAAACAATCTTTGGTTGTATTTTTAAGAATTTATCATTCCTACCCCATGCATTTAACGTTTTCTTTTGAGTATCTGCCAAGACCTCGAGACTCACGTGAGCAAATTCACGTGAACTCATCTTGATCGGAGAAAATTTTCCCGAGAGATTTCAGCGACTGTTACAATTAAAATACACAAAGTATACAAAGACTCATTTTTTCCGGGGTCCGTATCAAAAACTGAGCCATGCTTAAAAACAAGCTTGAGAAAAAATCAGTTCAGATCGATTTGGTCCATATTTAGCAAGGCGGTAGCTACTCTTACCGTTCAATTTGAAGATTTGAAGCTGAATGACGTGTTTAGGCCATTTCAGTCGGGTTTCCGGTTAGGAGCATCGGTCAACATATATTGCGGTGACTTACCTCTGTGATTAGATACTGGCAACTTGGTGGAGCGGGCCAGATGGAGATACGGTGCACCACAGACGCAACTAAACTTGTGGTGTAGTCGGACGTTTCTAACCGGGACTGGATCTGTTGGATTACGTCTGCAACACAGACAATGTGCGACGTAGACCCGAGGCTGTGGCAGAGGTTTGTAAAATTTAATACTGAGAACGCCTTCGCTCCAGTACTGTACCACAAGGTTGCTTTTTGTAAGGTTAAAGAGATCAGGCTTCAACGCAGTTTCGTTAGTCATTAGGACAAGTCGAGTAGTCTTTGCACCCCTTGAATATTCAAGGCTTGAAACACAAAAGGAAAAAAAACGTCTCTGGATTAGGCCATAAGCCGCTAATATTTTAATAAATCTTTGTTAGTTCATTGTCAAATCGATGCATCTGGCCGTGACCTTGTTTTGAGTCCTCTTGTGACTGAAATACCATTAATGTTATTAATTCGAATGGTCCGCTCTCGACTAGGAGAAGCAACAACAGTAAAGATAGTCGCAGAAACAAGTCAGCTTCTATAATTTAGCAGAAATGTAGCGACACCGCTACATCCCCAATCAGTGTGACATAATTTTGAAAGAAGAAACTGACGGCGGTGATTTCAAAATAATTACTTTAGCTTTAGGACCAAATAAGTACTTGGGATAAGTAAACCAAATAAGTACTTAGGTACTTAGCATTACTTTAGGACCAAATAAGTACTTTAATTACTTTACCATTAGGAGATGGCGGACTGTTACTGTCGCATCTCATATCCAGTAAATTAAAGAAATTTGTTTTGTTTCTTTGAACTTGAAATTAAGTGATTTTATATGACAAACTCAAAGTGCCTCCAAATTAAATCTTACTTAAGTCAAGGTATACGTTTGTTTTTTTTAAATCGAAACTTTGTGATAATTTTTTTTTAGAAACGCCACGCTCTCAAAATTTAAGCTAAAACCAAAGTTTATTTATTTTGAGAAACACCACGTTTATGCGTAGTTGTGGGTTTCTTTCGTTCAATTTTGAATGATAGTTGATTTCATATCACATTTTGTTTGACTGGTAAGGTCACTTTCGCCTCGGTCGGCCTCCTTTTTTTCCGGTTTTTAACCATTAAAAAAGTGCATAAAAAGTGATTAATCTCTCCTCGAAGTGCAAAGTTAGTATAATGAGGAATATTACCAGCTTTTAGTTAAAAAACAATTGTTGCAATTAAGGAAGCTTTTTAATAGCAGTTGTAATTCATTCTCCGGTTGTTCAAACGTTGGATATGTAAAGAGAGATTTCCCATGTATTCTTTATTTGATTCGAATTTCATATCTAGCTTTTATTCCCTTTGAAGTTGTGTTAGCCGTAATTTACATTGAATTTGCATTGAGTTGTTTTAGTTCCCTTAAATTTATATACACATTTTACTTCAATGTTCACTTTTAAAAGGATAATTTGTTTCTGAATAGATATACAGATTAGTCACTGAAGAACTAGACCTTTTGCCTGTTTAAATACCAACCGTTCTTACTTTTTAGTTTTGACATTTTAGGGAATCCTGAGCAAAGGAAATTCTAATTCTTTTACACAGCTTTCTTTGTAAATTTCCTAAATTCACTTGCTTGACTGACATTTAATTTTGAGTTATTTAGTTTGGGCATATGACCTTTAAACCTGAATTTATCCAGATTTGTTTTCGCTGTTCAGCTGATTTTATTCAGCCTTCTTCCCTTTTGTTTTGTGATGTTCTAATAAGTTGATCGGTTAGTATAAATAGAGCACTGTTATTCCTGTTTTTCGATTTACATTGCGGAGTTACATGCTTGTACGATTTTACATTGCGGATTTATTTGATTGTATGATTTCTGAAGATTAAACTGTTGAAGTCCAAGTTTGAGTCCTGTCCTGTTTCCAGTTGCAGCAGATCCTAGTACCTTGGAATAGTGACGAGTTCCTTTCCCGCTAGCCAAGCGAGTTGCGAGTTAGTTTTCCTCCTTGTTGTTCTTACGCCGAAGTCACTCGAGTTCTCTTTAAGCTCAATTCCCCGATTTGTGCTTGGAAGGGCAAAACCTGTCGTCACAGATAGCGCTATACACCGCATAAATCACCATAAAGCAGATAGCTTTTAATCGGTTTCGCTATGCTTATCCGCTGGATAGTGATTTATCCGGTGGATAGCGCTACTACAAGATGAACTCTTCCGTAAAACGGACAGCTAGAGTTGGTGCTTTCGTTACTCCCTTGATTTGATTTTCTCCGAGGACGGACATCTCTATATGAAGATGGACACTTGGTAACGGTCCGGCCAAAGGTGTCTGTCTTTTGGAGACTGTAAAGTGTTTGAGGAAAAAACACAGAAAGAGCTATGTTCCAGGACATAAGGTATCTTCACTTACTTTTACTTCAACTGTAACATCGTTTAGCAAGGAGAAGATATTTCTTCCCTTTCGCACAAAAAAAAGTGTTATGGTATGTGCTCTTGAGAAGTTCGGTAATAACCGAATGTATGGAAGTTTCTAAATAAAGGCGTGGAAAGAATTTTATACCTGTGGGGTTTCTGAAATGCAATGAGTCAACAGCTGAGAATGAAGTAGTAGCAGTACAGTAGCAGTAATGTTATTAAAGTGTCTGCAGTCGTTCTAGCGTTTACACACTAATCGGAGACACTATATTAAAAATATACCCTATTTGAATATTACATCCACAACATAAACATTAAAATAAGATATTGCCCGGTGACATTAAAAAATATGACAAATACTAAAACTAACTATTGCACAAACAGCAGGCTTTACAACCCCCACAAGTCTCTTTTTCCTATCGAAAATTTTCTTTGCTTAAGATTCCTCAGTGAAGTAAATTCTATTCTGTCATAAATCATTCCATCTCTCTTAATTTCTCAAAGACCAATTTCTACCGTAGAAAATGTGTAAGGTAGCTTACAACGGTTTTCAATATTATTAGGACTGGTACAACAGCTTTTTAATTTTACCCTTCGGTAATGATATCAACTAAATGCCTATTACTTGACAATATTAAACACTTATAAATGACTGGTCCCGAGGGAAACAGTTAATTTTGTCAAGAGATCATAATAGGATTTCCGATTATGATCTGTTGATTTGTTTCCCTCGAATCCAGTCAATATTTCCCGCGGGCTCCGCCACGGGAAACATGGAGATTCTCAGGAAACAAAAGTAATTGTTTCCCGAGGGACCAGTATTTAAGTGTTTTGTCATACAGCTAGAAATTTGAAGCTCAGGAAATTCATTAAACCATGCTGTGACGACGGACGTCGGTCAAGACTCGCGGGTAACAGCGCAGTCTCACTCTCTGACGTCATAGATTTGTTCAGAGATTTTGGCGGGAAACAGTTTGATAGTTAGATGTCATGTGACCTTGAAGTAACCAATGAGGGCGCGTGCTGTTGGAAGAAAATTTCCAGATCTATACAAAGCCACTTAAACAAAATGGCCTACGTAAGTTAGAGGTATCGCGTTGGAAGGCAAAACTTGAAGCGATTAGATATATGATATCGAAAAGTGATGGTAGCTGCCTCACTAGTGACAGAATGGGCGAATTACAGACAGTGCCATGAATATAACTCTTACACCTTCCATGGGCCATATCAACAAACAGATAATCAATTTGTTCCGATTTTTGTGGCTCACGGCCACTTTGATTTTCTACCAGGCTGAGTCAGACGCCGATCACAGTTTTACGGAAAAATGCTTTGACAAAAGAGTTTTTAATTATTTTCTTTTCTTACTATACAGAGAAATACAATATATCTTTTCCATTTGCTTTTCTCGATATAAATTATTCTTTATATTTCTTTATTTAACTTCTTTCAGGTTCATGCTTCTTTACATTTTTAAATATAAAGACAAAGGAAAGAACACTTTCTGAATATATCATACATAATTAATTATATAGTCCGTTGACTTTTTTACCTTCCTAAACTTGGGCACGAGTTTCGACCATACACATAGTCACTTTTCTGCAAAACCAGCAATACCTGAGTTAACAACAGCGAATGCGCTTCTCACTAACAAGAAAGTAAACGGATTCAAAGGCTTAGAAATTGCTTCTGACGACCACTGTAACCATCCCTTTTCGGCCTGCACTGTCTTGAAGCCGGCTTGTTTTATACTGGCTAGCGTTTCCTTGTTACAGCGACAACCATTAAAGAGCGTGGGATATATCAGCAGCTTTGTTAGAAGATGCTGAACAAAGTATTGGAGAGTCCAAGGTTTCCCTATTGAAATAAATCAATTGAGAAAAAATACAACTAAAAACAAATAACTCCTACTCGGACCCCGATTATGATAAATGTTTGGTGGTTAAAACAAGTAATAGCCATTTTCCATATATGGGGGCAAAGAAACAATGCATTTGTTACTGACGACATATCGTCAAGACATCATCACTAATTTCGGTTGCGTGCATGATAGATCTACCGTTTCATTTTTCAGGGAAGTTTTCCACATTAGCGTACTTATCAACCCAAGTTTTCATGTTAAAGAACAATGTCATTACAGTATCATTCATAAGTAATACTAAATTTTTAGTGATTCTGATATAAATCACATGTATGTATTCGATTTTATACAGATCTCCTTTTATTCAACAGGCATGATCTGTAACATGTAAAAGATGAAACGTGACCTAAGACGTTCGTAGAAAACAACAGAACGACTTTTTCCCAAGTTTTGTGGCTCACAGCCACTTTGATTGTTTACTGCAGACATAACTGTGGTCGTTGTTGCAAATGGTTGATGGGATCCCACATGAATACTGATTCTGGCAGACTATATTGTGAAAATGTATGTTTAAACGCCACGTCTACTACAAGTACAAGCATTTTAGTCCGGGGGGGGGGTACTCGACCAATATTTGGGTATGGGTGACGGAGCTGCTGAGGCTTTGAAACCCTGACCCTGTTTAGGACAAAAAATTCCTAAAATACATACCCTGTTTACGAAGACATCCTCAATTTTTGTTTCGGACAACTCCCTCAATTTTGTAACTAGAACAGACTTGCACAAATCATGCACACTGTTTGAGACAGACTTGTGTGAAATTATATACCCTGTTTAGGACAGAGAGGATGAAAACCATACCCTGTCTAGTGGCACATCCCCGCATAGGCCATATAATTAAAGGGAGTACCCCCCCCCCCCTGGGATTTTAGTTTTCAGTTCATTATTTTATTTTCAGTTTGAGACCTGAAGTAAACGAGCGGCTTTTTACAAAACCATAAAGCTAGGACTCTGCAGCTTTTTTAAAATAATAAAGTACCATATAATATTCGATGAAACACCGAAATATCTGAAATATGTGATGACAACAGTGTGGTTCACATAACCCGTGAACCAAGAACAAATTCAATGATAACGATTTTATTTCTTTTATCATCTATTTTTTTCCACATATACAAGTACAGTAAGATGGGAGTGAACATTAATTTTCATACGGTGCTTTAAATGTAATTTTCGTGCTTTCCTTTGTTGAAAATTAATCATTAAATTTGCTTAAACATACTTTCTGGCAATAGACCTTTTTAGCTTGTACGTTTTGTTCTCCCAATACAGGTCATGTGATAATACTCTAGGGGACTCATATTTCATCTTAAATACTGACGTGCATATGTTAGCATATGCATGCACGTGCATATGCATGACAAAGGGTCAAATTCCCCTGGGACCTCTATTGGGTAAACAAAACATACAAGCTAAAGAGGTCTATTGTGTACCTGACGTTAAACCTCTACACTTCATAATTGCTTTTACCAGCCTTTTAGAATGCCTAGAAATTTCACATCCACTCTCATTTGAACTTGGAATTTCTGGGAATTTCTAGGAATTAGGAACCACAACTTTTAACCTGGGAATTCCCAGGAATTTCAAGAGTGATTTCGCAAGGGTATGGTATCATTCAAATGAAACCTCTTCAGGAGTAACTTTCACATGGTACTATTTATTTGAGTACATGTATGCTTAGTTAGCTCTAACTTCATAAACTGAGTCTGTAGGTGAAACCCTTCGGTATGAAACATTTTGGCAGAACTCTTGTTTAAACTCAGTGACAGCTTAAGGGTTGAGTTTAGTGATGGTGCACATGAGATAGATGATGGCGATGATGAACATGATGAAGATTTTGATAACTACAAAAGTCATGTATTTGTATGTAAAGGCAAAGTTGTTGAAGAATGATGAGGAACAAACGATGAAGAATGAATTTCATGGATATTCCACAAAGTAAAGCAGTCACTCTTATTTCAATGTAAAACATTTTTGTGAGTGAGTGAAAAGGCTCTAGAAGTAACATAGTGAAATTGTATGTACCAACCTGCTACATGCTCTAGAAAAAAAAATCTCCCACCCTGAAAGACATAAAATAAACAGTTTCAAAGTCATTTCAAGATATATCCAACAGATAAAAATACTTAATTATACGTTTATGTATCTGACCTTTTGTGGCAAAGTTTAAGCACTTAATTGACCTGAATTCAGTGACTTTGAATGCTCATAAGGCCCAACTCTACTCTCGGAGTGGAGTGTAATTGTAACTTTTGTACATAGTTTGGATTCTATATAGCTAGATTTCCTCTTAGTATTATTGATTTTCGTATATTTTTTATTTTTATATCTTCGTATAATTTTCATTTTATTTTATTTTATTTTTTTCCGATTTGATATGTATTGAATTTATATTAATTCGGCACGTTCACATTTAAACGAGTCTTGTACTCATCCGTGTAATGTGGATAAATAAAATACTTACCTATCTACCTATATTAAAACGTTCTGACGGTAATATAATCAAAATCAATGCAAGCTGAAAAATGTGCAAAGGAAAAGAGACTTAGAGAATTATGAGACTCACTTAGATATCTGTTATATATTTATGAGTCTTCTGTAACATTTCTCCAATCACCTTCTTGGCTTCTTTTGTTACGTATCGGTCAAATCGAAGCTTCAGACTAAAAAGCTTCGACTAAAAGCCGAGCATTCAGTGACCTTGTAGCAGCGATTTCCGCCACTTTGCACAAGATGTTTGTTCATAGTAAATACGCCAACAGTGTTTCGCAGTTTTTGTTACAGTGAATGTGAATTGTTTGCTGTATTTGTAAATAAAGATTTTGTTCAACAACTGAAGGTATTTCTGCCGTCCTTCTGTCATTTATGTGCCTGTGAAATGTCCCTAGGGTGGGGGCATTTGATCACATGAATGGACCCTAGTGTGGGGCATTTGAACGGTATTTTGGCCCGGGTAGGGGGGAATTTGAACAATAATTTTCAAAAAAGTCAGATACCCGGGGGGTGGGGAATGTTGAAGCTTCGATTTGACCGATACATTAACGGGTTAAAGTTATGTTTTCATTGTGTGACAGTGAAAACACTCTATAAAGAAGGAGTACCTCTTCGGTCCAAAATGATGTATTAAAATGGTAAGGGTTTAGACCACAGGACAAGAGCCTCCCCGTATCAAACTTCGTTGAGGGATCCCCTTGGGGGAGGGGGCGGGGTGGGGACGCAAGAGCGATTATTGAACTTACAGGCATCAAGACTCTTTTCACTTCTGCAAGTGTTTTCATCGTTTGCTCGTCAGTAAGAGAACACAGTACCATCGTACAAACAACAGCAGCTACGGAGTTGTCCTCCACGCCCGGTTTTCCTAATGAACAGCTCATATCCTCTGCTGAGGCTAGCATAAACTTCTTCAAGTGAACTCTCTCGCCTGCTTTCTTCAAGTTTTCCATGAGAAGTTCCTCAACGTGTGGGTTTGAATCAACAGCTATGAGGGATGTTGCTTCAGGATAAAGATCGAAGTTCTCTCCCGCACCGATCCCGATTTCCAAAACATCACCTTCCACTTCTTTCAAATGCTGGCCAAGTTCAACAAAAATCTTTTGTTTCAGAGGCGCCATGATTCCTTTCATCAGCTGTACGCTCTTGGACTCCATTTTGGCGAAAAACTTCTTGTACCAGGCTGTTGATACTGCAATCCGTATGACTATCACGAGAAATATTATTACTAATGATGGGATAGAGAAAACAATGGACAAGAAAGCCGACAAATACTCCGACAACATTTTGATGTGCAACGCAGAATGCGAGCGTAGTGGTGCGCGCATTGGTCGTGCATGGTACACGTAAAACGTGACAGCTACGTGACGGTTAACGTGACGGAAGTGGTATCAGTGCCAACCTCGTCCCCAGGGTCTTTCCGTTTTCCTACTCGTACTCATCCCTCCAGACTATTAGACAATTTTTTTCATCACTGTCTTTCAACCTGTACTAGAAATACGTTTATCGCAACACCCTCGCGAAGCTGTGATGAGGGGAAGCAATATGAATAAATTGAAACCACCTAATAGGTAAAATAAGTATAGAAAAAAAAGAAAGAAAACAAAATCAAAACGACCAAAAAAGAGCCCCGGACCATTAACGTGACAGGTCAACGCTTTACCTATTGCACCACCACGCCAAGTGTTTAACGTCTTTGCCCATGAAATTCTGCTAATAGACGCTGTTTGAAGCTGGATTCATCAAGAATTCAGAAATATATTCGGGGACAATAAGAAGGGCCGTTTGACGGTAAAAGCCATACTTTAACTCATTTTGCGGCATTTAAATAACCAAGACGCATAATAGGACAGGTCCTATTGTGATCTCTTGGAAGAACATATGGCCGACAAAGCGATATTTTGAAAGTGTCTCGTAAATCCGTCGCGAAGTCTCGTGTTAGCCTGTGTATAGACGCTCCTCTCTCCTCAAAAAAGATCGGGCAGGGAGACGACGTCTGTGAATCGCCATCGTTAATCGTTTTCCCGTTTCCTCGGGATGTGGGGAAAAGCCTCTGATTGGTTGTAATGCTAATGCCACGACGCGAGTAATTTCCGGGTCATGAATCTCAGAATAGATTCCCCGGGGAAAACTCCGGAAAACTTCAGCCTTGGGACAGGAGCGTTTTCACTCACGTGGCCAGCATCTATGCAAATTTATAGTGGAACAAAAGAGAGCGTTTGCATAAGAAAAGAGTTCAGCTCCCACAGGATTGTCTTGCTACCCCAATATGGCCGCCGTTTCATTGTTTTGGAACACCAATATGGCCGCCGTGACGTCATGTGAAAACGCTCCATACGTTTACTTGTATTTCGGCTTGAGAAACAAGACCACCGACGTTTGCTGCCACGGTTGCGCGCGCATGGTGCATCTGCTCTCTGCATGTGGCTATTGTAAATAAAAAAGAAGGACGTAGAGAATTCAACTCTTGATCAGAGATCTTTCTGGATTTCAGCGTGGACACTACGTAGAAGTTTTTGTCAGCTAGCCTGTGTTCAGAAGCTAGGGGAGGAGGCTGTTTTTTCGGCCTACATGTACCCGTGGTGACGCGTAAAATTAGACAAAAGTAGAGCTATAATTTCTTGCTGAAGAAATGGAACGATCCTTTGCGTGAAACCTACTCGAAATCATCGACTGGATCAACTCCTGCATAAAACGCTTAAATTTGAAATGTAAACAGTGTTTCCGAGATCATGAAATTTTGTCAAATCAAAAACCGGCCGCAGAAAACAGACCGACTTTATGAGCTAAAAAAGACGGAGAAACATTTACATGTTAGAATCCTCCAAAGGATAATGTACTCGTTGTAAATGACATTTTAGGTAGATAATCTAGTTAGAGCCTAGCCTATTGTAGCTACAAAGGTTGAGAACATCCTTGAGAATACCGTAAATTATTTATTTCAAGCCTATTTGAGGGGGTGGGGCTTAATAGAGACGGGCCGGGCTTATTTGAGAGGGGGGTTATTTATTTAGAAACGAAGATGGTATCAGTTCTCCATAAAGAACTAGAATACAAAGTGGAAAAGCTTAAGTTCAAGAAGTTGGAGATCATGCAGCCTGTGAGAAAATTATTGCGTCATTGTGGCGGGAAAACTCGTCACGTGATCTGAGAACTGAACTTTGCACCAGAGTCTTGGAACTGTGTAGTCGTTTGGAGTCGTGGCATCGTGGAGCTGATCGAGTGTGTAGATTGAGTGTACTGTCATCGAAATTTTTACTCAAATTGATGCCGATGAATTCTTTAAGTGTAAGAACAGAGTACAGAATTCAAAAATATGAACATGTCAAGAAACATACTTTCAAGGGAGTGAAGAATTAAAGCTAAATGGAACTGGTTGTATCACACATAATTTGTGACACAGCCGAGGATCAGCAACCTCGTCTCCAGGGCGCTTTTCCCACCTCAAAAGCGAACGGTAAAGCACCCTGGGGACGAGGTTGGGTTCGTCTCGCGATGTGTGGATTCAGTATTTCTTCCAGGAACGTTACCGGGACATTTCTTGATTATGAACTGTGTTTTAAATTTGTATGAAGGACGGGAGGCTTCATTTACACTCGTTCGGCTGACTTTTGTTATTTGCGCCATTAGGCTGCCAGAGGCAGCACTTCCCAATCTAGGGTATAGTGTGGGAAGCACAGATGAGTCAAGCAAAATCTATGATATATATTGTTGATAAATTTTGTGACCAGCTAATTCGCTCAGTGGGCTCCTACTGATTTAATTTATTACCAGAGACTTAAAGGTAGCTAATTGCTGTGAGGAGAAGAATTACAGAAAAGCCCTGGCCTAGCCAAATCCTCTTACCAAAACCAGTTCCAGCAGCATCTGAGTTCCCTGCAGGAGGAAGTAAATGATTCTGGAATTGGTTCAGTCAGACAGTAAGTTCCCAATACTTGTTTTTAAATCATTTCCTAGTACCCTGCAAATTAGTCTACTTTATAATAACAGCATCTAGCGATGGAGTAACTTTATTTTATGTTGGACTCGCGTCTGCAAATTTCACCCGAATAGCAAGTGATACTTACCTCGTGATTACTTCAATCATGGTTACCTTTCTAACTCGTAGTGTGGCCGCTGAGAAAGACGGATATCCCGCTTCTTGTGAGAGCGTTTTAGGTCTCCTCCTCATCCGTGATCAAATATCCTTTCGCCAGCAGCGAAATATGAAATTGTAATTTCTGACTGGATTTTCTTACAGCACGTGTCTATGTAGCAACAACAAAAGTTGTTTACCTGACCACATACACCACGGGGCATTTGGGATTTGAAAAATAAAGTCTTTGTTCTTGGATGATTGCCATTTGTTAAGTAGAGAATCCTGTTATTTTGGTGAAAAAAAAACCGGACTTAATTGTAAAGTCGTGTAAACTTGCTCCTGTAAAGGAAACAAATCTTGTCAAGATTTCACATTTACTGGGGTTTTGACTCTTTTAAAGCGGCTTTACAATAAAGCTCTCCCCAGGATTTTCAAAAGTATTTTTAACTATCGACATATAAAGAAGCAGGGGCACCCAACGAGAATATAGTTCAAAACCACTTAAACATATCATTGTTAAACGTGTTTTAGTATTTAAACGGTTGATATGGGCATATAGTTTATCCCCTATAAATTTTTCATCTGTTCGGATTTCCTAGCTGAAAGGCTAGTGATCCGAAAATTATAGGGATCAAAACTTACCTGTTCGAAAATTTCAGCCAGAGAAAAGGCTCCCGAAAATTCTAGGTGACCTTTTTAGGGTAAAAATCCGTTGAAAATGGGCGATTTTACCATTTTTTAGAAGTTCGAAAATCCTAGGAGAGGCAGGGAAGCAAGAAATTTTACAACAAATGTTCCGAAAATTCTACATCTCAAATCGTCTTCCGAACAGATGTTTTTCCGAAAATTGTCGTTGAGTGCCCCTGAAGAAGGCTCAACGGTGAATACAAACACCTTACCCAACGCAGTCTCTTCGTTCTGTTGAACATATCTTAGGATGACATGTTTTCGCTGTCAACGTCCTGTGTGCTTTTAAAATCATCTCTTTTAGTTGCTATTATCTAAAGATTTATGTTGTGTTTCGCCTTTGATGGTGGAAATTTTCAACATCGGCGTAGAGTTAATTTTAGAGATAAGGGTTGTGTGTTTTCAGATTAAGGGTGGATTTACACTGTCGCGTAATTGTTGTTACGTGGATTCGTGCGTAAAATTTTCATTCGCAAAGAAAATAGAGGCAATGTATGAAAGGTCGCTCGCAAACGTGAACCTCGATCGCTCAACTTCACGTTCAAGCTCGACAATTTATATCTTACACGAGTAAAATTTACGTTAGTCACATAAAAATTACACGACAGTGGAAACACACTACCCCTAACCCTAACCCTAACCCCCAAACAGCATTCTTTTTTTAAAAAAAAGATCGATCTGTAATGAGTCCACTCTCACTCGAAGTATGGGTATGTTACAGGTAACGCAGGCTCACTGTGTGTGTCACGTACGGGTTTCATGACATGGATAAATATAGAGAACGAATGGGGTGAAGTTTAGGTCTGGAAATTTGCTAGGAAATGGAAATAAAAATCGATGAAACTTACCATGTGGCGAGTCGTTTGTTGTCCTTAATATGCACACGAAGTTTCGGGAAAAATAGTCTCCTTCATCTTTCCTACATAGTAGACAATTTTGCCCCATATGTTCTCCATATTTGCTCATGTTATGAAACCCGTACGTGACACAAACAGTGAATCACCTGTAGGTATAGTTGGGCTGTGAAATCCATTAAGGATTTTCCCAAAGGAATGCTGCCTTCCCGCGCTGAAGAAACGGATCTCGGATTTTCCTTTGGCATTTTATGTTAATTAAACTAAAGAGGTGTGGGCGCTTTGTCGCGTATTTCACCCCGGAACCTCGGTCTAAAGCTGGGTCTAGTTTATAAGGAGAAACCCGTCCTACAACTATGACGTAATTGTTTCATTTATTCTTCGGGTACATTTTATTTGTATACAAATCATCTTCTTTTTTCAATAACAACTTTGCAGCGTTCACCAAAGCCACGGTGGTTTTTGTTAGATCTTGCACAACTCTTTGCTTATTCTTGGCCTTTGGGTCTCTTACGTGTAGTTCAGTTACAGCTACTACTATCTGCAAAAATCAATAAAGCCCTCATCAACACAAAACCTGCCTTCAATGATTTGGCTTTCAATTTGATTCTCAACAATCTATTAAATTTTAAATTACGTACTTTTCTCAATTTTACCCCATTGGGAAACAAATAAAACAGCAAATAAAATGCATTCTAGTTCTTTCACATAGCAAATCGCCAAAAGGAAGAGGTCGGGGGTATTTGCGCAAGTATGAACAGTACCTTTGGGCTCCCGGCAGCATATAGAAAGCACCTTCCGGCTAATTGAGCGTGCGAGAAAGCCTACGAGTGCATGGGCTATCGCATTAAGCCACGTGCAACATTGTTGGACCAACAATGTTGGGAGTTGTTGCGTGTTGGCAGTGGTCTGCAAACGGATGCAAGAACTCCATCCTATCATTGTTGGCCGATCGCGCGAAGTTATTGCTTTGCTGTCTCCAAGGAGACCATGTGTAAAGCGCGTGCGTGGTTCCAACAATGTTGGAAGAGCTGTGCAAACGGATCCAACATTGTTGCCCTACACTTCAGCGATCACGGAACAAAGGAAATCTCGGGACAACACCAATTAACTGCACTGAATCAACACGTATCAACTCCGCGGTATGGCTAGGCTGTGAGCAAGCTCTCCTATTTGGGCGAGTGAAACGAGTCTCGCGAGAACGCGCGAGGGGCAGAGGAAAGCACGTTCTCGCGAGGCTCGCTTCGCTTGCCGAAATAAGAGAGCTTGCTCGCAGGCTATGGTATGGCCAGTACCTTAAGCATGCGCACAACCAATATCACCCGGGGATTGGCAGCCATGAACAGCTGTTTCGCCCTTAGCTCCAACAAGGGCGAAACAGCTGTCCATGGCTGCCACCGTCTGGGTGATATGGTTGTGCGCATGTGTAAGGTACTGGCCATACCTTGGTACGTGTACTTCAGTGTAGTTAATTGGTATTGTTTGAAATGTCGGGAGTCATTGGCTCAAAAGTTTGACCGGTTTCAAACTTTGCGCAAGAATTCCCAACAACAAGCAACAACATGCAACTGAACCAGGGTGTGCAAATGAACGCAACATGTAACATACAACAATGTTGGGAGTTGTTGGCCAACAATTTTGTGTCCGTTTGCCCGGGGCTTTAGAGTTTCTTGCAACATCTCGCGTTGGTGATCACGCCAGCATTCTCCGGATATGGGAATCAGGAGCAGGGACAAGAGCGACTCGCCTTTGCAAATGCGCTTCGCGAGTCAGGTTGTCTGTTGACTGCATCACTCACTTCCGCTGTAAAAGATAGACTGCTGGCGAGCTTGTAGTAATAGTATTTCGCGTGAGATGTTGGCGCGAGTATGGACAGACTCACCCGGCGAGCAGAACCTCTTTTTTAGTTTAAACTAGGAGAAACTAGGAGTATAAAAATCAATCTTCATTTTAGGATAACTTTAAGTTTAACTCAGACTATTGTTTCATGAGCGAGACCGGCAAGCATTAAAAATGCTTTTGCTATGATAATTACTAATTCCTAGATCCTAGCGCTTTTAACTTTTGTTTTTTTCGATAAGCACTCCTTTGAAACAGCGCCGGCCTTAAGTTTCCCCCAAATACCGTAACGTTCATAGCTGGTATGAATTGAATTCAGTTATCATGAACAAAAAGCTTACCTTGTTATTATAAGGCTACTATAGCGGTTGACGGTTATGAAAGCACGATATTGCTATGGATTTGACGTCCATTAAGGGGCATGACATTACGAAAGTTATTGCACATGCGCCCTTTGTTTGGGCCCTGAGCATGCGCCTTGTTGCTGTTCAAATTTCGGAATGCTTGAATCTGTACAAGAAAATGGCCATAAATTAATTATATGAATGGAACGATAAAATGTGGTTTAGTGAATGGTTTAAAGTGAGATTCATGTCATAATAAATAAACGCGATATGATCATCAAGACGGCTGTAGTTTTGAATAGGAATGACAGTGACTGACAAGTCATGATCAGAGTTAAGGTGCTTTTGTTTACTGTCGATCATACTAATGCATAGATTTAGCCAGGGCTAAAAGCGAAGCTCTCGTTAATACACTCATGATATACTCAAACAAAAAATAAAATCGAGCGATGGCGATGGCGACGACGACGGCAACGAGAACGGCAAAAAACCCAATAGTCTAATTAGCAACAACAACAACAAAAAATTGCACGTCCAGCACTCTCTTTTGTACATTTCTTTGCCGTTGTTTTGCTCGACCACTACATGAAACTTTCTAGTTACACATTTTATGGAAAAAATGTCGTTTGTGCTCTCCAAAGATTTTGTTGCTCGTGTTCCTGTTAGCCTATCGCTACTTTCGGAGGTTCGCTACTTTCGAGGGGTGGCTACTTTCGGAACTTTACGGTACTTATCGCCTTATTATATTGTGTGCGTTTAAACAAGCTCTTAGAATTTCTCCAGAAATAAGGCATAGATACTTGAAAGCCTATTTATAAAACACTTGAACTGTACGTACATCGAATAGTGTTAATTCTTTTTTCATATTCAATCTCTCGGTGTCTGAATATCGAATTCAACAATCCTTCTCTTGTTTGATATATCAAAATACCTGGTCATGGAGTTCTATATAACCACGAAATATACCCTTTTCAGTATAGCTTGTACAGCGGGGGTGATTTAGCCAAACATAAGGAAAGAGACTAGAAAAAATGAGACAGATCGACATCACAGCCTGTTTAGCCCTGAAAAAGCTGAATTGAGTGAATCACATGTAAGGAAATATCCTAAAGATCTGAAATAAATACTGACTCAGAACTAATTAAATATTGCGAGAATGAAGAGTTGGAACGATTTCGGTTCTCGATGAAGGCTGAAGGCCCAGGTTATAATGGCGCTGCTTCCCCAGTAGTAAGGTGGCAACAAACGCCGGCGATTGTGGTTAGTATCAGACTCCTCAAGGAGTTTGCCTTAGTTACAAAGTTGCAAACGAGTATTTTTTCTTGAGCTCCTATTGCAAGCGTACGAGAGTCCCTGAGATATACATGTAGTTGAGAGTGAAAGTTTTTGAATTTGTTGCGGCCTGATAGATCATCATTCAAATGCGCCGTGAGGAAGCACTTATATAGAGTACGAGTGCGCAGTACTCTAGTACGGACGGGCCTGGGGACCGTTTCTCGAATGTCCCGGTCACCTTTCGGAGCCGGAAAGCTGTTTTTGTTTGCCGGGTTTGCATTTAAGATCAAGGTATCAATGATTTTTAACATGATCAATGATAAAACTATCCATTAACGAAGCAAAATTGACTGGTTTGTGAGTTAGGAATTGTGCCACTATTCAGCAGATTTTCATTTTAAAATTTGCCAAAAAGATTAAAAAAAGGTTAAAGTAGTCGAGCGCGAAACCCTACGCAGACTCTTTTCAGCAATTCCATTTCCCCCAGCTCAATTTGGAGTCGAGTAGCAAAGTCCTGAAATAATGCAATCTATGCAAACCTTTTTTATTGTTTGCCCATTTACTGCTGGAATAAGCCCCAGCCTATTAATTTAGCCATTAATCATCTTGCCATAAAACTACTCACTCTGTTGCCTGGTTACTCTTACCTCTAACTCCGATATTTGTGGATGATTATTCATGACAAACCATGTGACAGATTCGTAACATCCGGGAGTTGTAAGAGAACCCTTGTATTTGAAAAACCTGTCAGCGACATCCGGGGAAACAAGAAGAGGTGCCAAATCCTCTATATGTATCGCAGCACTCTGAGTGACCACGTAATTGCTGTCTGTTTCCAAGATAGCGGTATTCTAATTACTAGCCTGCGTAGCAGGCGCTTGGAAGTAGTGGGCCGAGAGAAAGGGCGCGCGCGAGGGAGACACGCGAGGGGTGTCTCTCCTCGCGTGTCTCCTTCTCGCGCGCCAATTTTTTCTTGTTCCTACTACTTCCAAGCGCCTGCTACGAAGGCTATCTAATTACTGCCATATATAGCTAGAGTTAAACGGTTTTTTTAGGTGCTAGGTATTTCCTTACCTGTAATGTTTTGTTGGTTTCACAAATATTATATTGCATAGTATGTGACCGTTAGACTAAAACTACCTTCTGTAACTATAATTATGTTAAAAGTGAAATGTAAATAAAGCTTGTTGTTGTTTTGTTTGTTTGTTGTACTGTCAGGGAGGTTTGCTTCCATATGAAAGTAGGGGCATTGTAAGGTAGAAGTTAGGTTAAGCACTACCTTTCACGGAAAACGGCTGCCCCCCACCCCAATTGTTTGAAAAGCCTTATAAGAGGAGAAGAACGTCATGGTTAAGAATTATGTCCGTTAGTTTTTCCAGTTGTTAGTGTCAACGTTCTTACAAAAAAGTTCCGTTACAAAAATGATTATTATGTAAGGAGAGCGACTAAGAATGTTTATTACTAACCTTGATCAACAATGTTGTTGAGGAGTTTAGAAATCTTTTCTAGTGCATTGTTTGGATTAGATGTGCTAGTATTTGCCATTGGCAGCTGTGAATCAATCAATCAAACAAGTTCAAGTTAGCAGGCTAAAACTCTTAACTCTTCGGTCCCCGAAGAGTCAGGTTCAATCCAATGGCCTCTTGTGGGTCGAGATCAATTTCAAGCGCCCCGAAGGCCGGCAAACAAGTACAAGAGAGTAGAGCCCAATACCTTAGAAAAAAGGAAATCTCAAAAACCTTGGTCTAAAAATTTGGTCTATTTAATTTCGTTTTTTCTTTTTCTCTTCACCCTAAGGATCTGTTTGCCGCTTTTCCTGCAATTTTGTCATTTTTATTGTTCCAGCTCTTTGCTTGAGACTGAGTTCTCGGTCAACATAGCCTGACTGAATCTGAGTCAGCCCCCCAATAGCTTAAACGTTGAACGTTGTTGAATGAAATATAAACTCCCGCGATTAGGTAATCCAGACTTTTTCACTTTAATTAATTGGACTGCTCATTTCCGGTTATTTTAACCGCATGACCCTATTCTTGCGTTAATTCCTGGTTATAACACTCTTAACAGGTAAACCAATGTCTCACCTCGTACATGACAGATACCACAGCCAGCCCATCCTCTCCTTCAGCGGCCAATTCAAAAGTTGCGTAGTTTGTGTTATCCCAAAAGACCATGTGTAACTGGAAAGAAAGAAACCGGAAACAGAAAGAAAAAAGGGAATGGTTATCACAACCGTTTTTACCACTTTTGTTTGTAACTTTAGTTAGGTTTACACTAACATTAAGATAAGCCTTTTTAGACGGTAGAGCTAACTTTTCTCTTGCCTAGTTCTTAGGCCTCACTATTCCGCGCGGCCATTGCGTTTCGGGTCACGTGGTCCGAGCGAAGAAGTTTCCCGCCTTTTCGCCTCGGATACGCCTATGTGAATTTACTGAGAAGGCCCGGGAATAAGCCCTTCTTCTTTCCCTAGGAGGTCGAGTTAATGGTTTGCACCAATGGAAACTTGAGGCGTAACTGTCGCATCCTACTAACGACGCGTCATACAACATTTAAAATAAAAAAGAAAAGAAAAGAACTTTTGAAACTGGCAAAAAGGTAAATCGTCTTCGATCCGATTCAAATCCTTTCCTAAAACGTCTGATAAAGACTCATTAACACAGGTAAAGAAAAACTGATTATGATATAACTAATACAGCGTTTGGATTCCATGTAGTCGATCAATCGTGCGTCTAAGCCAGGAGCTTAGAAGTAAGCTCGCAATTGTTCAAAAATACTAACGTGATTCCAATTTTAATTAAAGCAAACACTTCAAATTTTGATATTTACCTCGAGTGGATAGCTGTTACCATCAATAGTGTGTTCGGACCCAACCGAATCGTTGCAACCAAAGTGGAAATGGAATTGTTTGAGGAAGTAGTTTTCTTGAAGAAGACCGCCGGCCAGTTTGACCGTCAGTTCTTCTCCAACGAAAAACGTTGGTGCGTACCCATTGTTTCTAAGCTCGCCGGTGATTGGTCTACCGCCTGCCACAGTGAGGCGCAGATTTGGCGGATTTGTCGGATCTTTCTGCATGACCTGGTCGGTGACGATGTCAATTGGCGATTGCTTGCGCCCATTGCAAGACCAGTTGCCATTCAAGGTTTCCCACTCGTCTGGACCTAGACAAAATAAAATTGAGGATTAAAGCTTGTCATATTTATAGCAACAATCGTGGACAAAAGTGTTGGTTGACACGTTCGTCCTTTTTCCTCTCTCAGCCTGTCTACGCCAGTTTTGTAAGTAACCGGGCTCTTAAAAGCGCATATGGTCTGTGATATCCCAAAAATGCATTAAACTTTGAAAAAATGCAGATGGCGAATCCAAGTAACAAATGATTCAAA